GTCCTATGGCGGTCAGGCACAGCATGAATAGTTTCCACGGCCACATAACAACAGTTATCAGAAATATCACTGAACCCACAACTGGCAGTCATTTTGTCCACAAACCCCAACTAGTAAATCACAAATACAGGTAAGAAGGATTCCGACAATGGTTTTAAAGCAATTTTTTAAAACTGTTATAGGTGTCTTGGGCTAGGTCTTGCATGGTGCTTGAGGCATCGGATATATATGTGCAGCACTCGACTTCCATAACCTGACCAACACATTCTTTCTCTGCTAAGAGAAGGGTTAATGCAGTCTGATTTTGCGGAACTACTATAAGAGAAACGTTTATGTAGTTTTCTAAGACTCAAGAAAGTGCTTCAGTTACCTTCTCACCACAGTAAACACCACAACTAGGAAAATTCACCCAAAATATCTTTTCAGCTTCCGTGAGGTCTCATGTCTATTAGATAGATAACACAGGAAACATTCTATGACCCATGACTATTAACGCTACATGTGGACTTTACTTAAGTGTTTTGGATACCTTCAGTATTTCTAAGACAAGCTCGGATTCAGATCCATCCCTCTCCGTCTATCCTATGCTGTATTGTCGTCACTCTGGTCGGCAGCCACAATGGTTTAGGCAGTAGATCAGGCCTAGGACCAGCTGCAAACCACTCGTGTTGGGGTGTTGGCATTGCTTCAGATATGTCCAGAGATGTCCATTCGTGCTACATGCATAGCAGACACCTTTAACTTTCTTTCAGGACTCTTTTGCCTTGGCTTTGTTCCTCCTCCACTTCCTTCAGTTGTTCAGGCCGTCCAGGTGGTGGTTTCACAATTTCCCCTTGTAGTAGATGAGGGTTGTGCATCTTCCTTCTCCATGTACCAGAATGGTGGAAATGTCACTGTTCTCCCATCCTATGCTGGTTAATTAGACTTTCTCTATTACTCTAGGCAGCAGTCTGTGAACAAAGTGTTGCTTGGACACTTGATCTTTGGCAGTATTCAAGTCCACTGTACAATTCTGCAGCATTTCTCACTTTGTCAAGGAAGGATTGCAATGTTTCATTTTTGTCTTCTTCAAGTTGTTACTTCTCATCCAGTCAGAATTTGAAAATGTCAGCCACTCTACATGCTAAAATTTCATGATGAATGGACTAAAAAAAAGCTCCAAAATTACTTGAAAACAAATCTAGTTACATAAACTTAAAGTTAAGAACGTTAAGGAGATATGAGGTTTTGTTCTGACAGCAGAACACACCCAGAGCCTGTTCAATACCCCCATCATTAATTAAAGAAGGGTCTTTCTTATCGTTCATCCTTGCCTTACATTCTCTCTATAAGTCAATACTAAGTGACCCATTTAGTCCGAAAATACCAGGAGTTAAGTCATTCCATAATTTAATCTGCTCTGAATTAACAGGACCCCATTTTTAATTACGTTCCTCACTGGTCTTTTAAATGGAGGTGGCGGTTTGTCCTGTTTCTTACCCATAACAACTTCCAAATATGTCACAAATACAATATAATGAAAAAAAAACCATCTAATTCATTCAATGAAACATATTCTATGAATTTTTTTACTGGAAAATCCTCAATAACACTTAATATTGTGGCATCCCACCACTGCCGTGCTGCTGTAAGGACGCAAGTGGCATGGCCAATCAAAGGAGCCATGTAAAGAGGCTCTCAGGAAGCGCCATGCTTGTGGAAGGAAAGACATTTAGTGTGGTTCATTTGTTGATGATTGTTTAACATGTGTTTACTTGTTGGTTGTCCTGGGTTGTGGGATAGTTGGGTGGGTTAATTGTTTACCTTGAAGGAGAGCTGTGTGGTTAGAAGTGCGGCAATTCTCCTTTGCTGCTTGTTCCATTAAAGGGCATTTGCATTCAATAAAAGTGCAGTTGCATTTTATTCTATGCCGATGCCACAAAGTTAGCAAAATGATTAGGACGATAACACCAATACACACACTGAACAAACATGACATACTGGTACCAAAAACATTCACACTATTTACAGGTAACCACTATGACTATGACTATTATTCACCCTTTTCCCACCTCTGTAGAATATGATCTCTTAAGTATTCGTCTCTTTGGAAACTAGTTCACAATTTTTCTGTCTCAACAGTATATGGTATTAGTCTTTGAATTTCACTCAGAGTTTTTCTGTCCAAATCGAATATGGTCTTGCGAATATTCGAAACAACCTAACAATAAAACAAGTAACTGTATACTGAATAATGTTTTAAATGTAACTTGGACTAAATTCAGTTAATTATATATATATATATAGAATTTCTGTATTCTGAATATGTATTCCTGATACTTGTATTCCGTTACATCCCAGCCCTGGTTATATGTCTCCTGCAGATTACTTTGGTACCATACAGAAAGTTAATGCTGTTTGATTAGAGCAAAATACTTGATTAATCTAAAAAATGTTTGCTCACAGGAGCAAACAGCATGCAGTTAAATAGATATATCACATTGCCTATTACAGAGTCTCCATCTGCTGGTACGTGTTATTTATGTCATGTTCACTGGATCTACAGAAACAGAACATTGTGTCACTAAATTAATTATCTCCACGGGCCCAAATTTTGCTTAGATCAGATTTCAATGTCACAATCAGCGATTTTAAAAGATATGTTAACATTTTTATGGCTATAACTAATCATTAAGAAACATTGTATCATGACGGTGAATGTTTAAGGACCTGTGTCCCACACTTGTCTCATATTTTAAGTCTACTCCTGAGGTTTATGTAGGTCCATGTACCAAACACACTTGTAAATCATTTCTACATGAGCATTTTCCAGCTTCCCTTTACACCTTTAGAATTAAACAGACACAGTTTTTGTTGCTGTGCCTGTAAGACTGATAAAAATAAATCACCTCTGTTCTGATTGGCTGTCTTGTTATGTGGCTCATTTAGAAAGCAGTTGAATTGATATATTCCTAATAATTTTAATGTGAATGCTATGTGGATACACGCTGGTTTTTGTGACGTCACAAAAACAATGAATTAAAAATGGGCTGTTTAGTTTTTTATATTTGGACTGGGGAGTAAATGGCTTATTTTGAAACTTCAATAAAGTTTACATAGTATATTAAACTCTTATATGTAAAAGCTCCAAAAAAGCCCCCAACTCCAATTAGCAGATGACTTCCAGAAGATTACTGTGATCATTAGTTTGAACCTAATGCCTAACTGACCGCTTAATCTGCAGTTCTTTTATGTAGTTAATATGGCATGTTATTGCTTTCCATCCTCCAGCACACCTGATTCAGCTCAGTTAATCAACACGCTTGCTCAGGTGTGCAGAAAGAGGGAATCCCTTAAACTGTGTTGTGCCCTCAGGATCATTTTATGAGAACCTGAGCCTGCTTTGCCTGTTGAGCTTACCTTGTAATGTATTGTGTAATAAAAAAGTAATAAATGCTGTCATTAATCTGAGTGTGTGTCACCTGGAATTCTAGCTATTATTATTATTATTATTATTATTATTATTATTACTACTACTAGATTACGAGGGACATTATTTTTATGGTGTAAAGACATTTCAGCATTAGAAAAATGTATTTACATCATGTGTACCAGAAAATTGCAACTTTAAAGGGGAATTCCACCCATTTTTCTATATTTATGCATAATAAGTGGTCAAATGTAAGTAAAGTCAGTGGGTTGATGTGAAATGTTCTGTTCTAGAGAAACTCACTGGGTCGGAACTGTTCACTGTGGTGGTGATAGGAACCAGACGTCTAAAGAGTTTAATGCCTCATGATAGTCATGATAGAGAGGAGGCTTTGGTTTAAAACATCTTTTTCAGTCCATTCATGGCAGAGAGGTACATGCAAGGTGCTGTATGGCAAAATAGTCTCTAAAGAAAGCTTAATGGTTCAGGTTAAGATTTACCACTATTTTTACATTTTCAACATTACATATAAATACTCACATGTTAAATAAGTCATGTGTGGGTTCACTGGTGGTGCTGCAAACATCACGACCCCGAGTTCCAGTCACTATAAAGAAGTCAGAGTCAGTAACTTTCTCTACAATTAAGCATTTCTCATCAAAACAGTCTGAATAACATTGTTTACATCTCCATGATAGGAATAATCAGAATTTTCCATGATGAAAGTTCCCCTTTAACACTGTTAGAACAATTTTAACCCAGACAGTTAAAGACAACTGAATTAAATGGGAACTCCAGCATTTTTTTTTTAATTCTTCATAATCAAAATGGTTAAGATGTAAACTAAGTAATTCAGAGTGGTTTGGTGTGAAACGCTCCATTCTAGAGAAACTTTTCGAGTCAGAATTGCTCACTGTGGTGGTGATAGGAAACAGACGTCTAAAGAGTTTGATGCTTCTGAAAGCTCCCTCGCAGAAAGTTATTATATGAATTGTTCATGAATACACTGCTTGATGTCTGGGGCATTATTTTATTATAGTTTTGTGATAAAGTTTTGGCATAAAATGTATTTTAATCAATTTTTTTTAATCCATTCTTGACAGAGATGTACATGCTGGGCGTTATGAGGCAAAATAGCCCCCCCAAAAAAATTTTTTTCCAGATTTATTACTATTTTACCATGAACAATGTTACATCTAAAACTCAGAAGACGCTTGTTAAATTCACTGGTGGTTTTGTATAGTACATAAAATGGCTTTATTCGGGTTGTAGACATCTTGATCCCTGGTTCCTATCACCATCGCAGTAAAGAAATCAGAGTCAGTAAGTTTCTCTACAAGTGAACACTTCACATAAACCACTCTGTATGAATTTGTTCACATCTCAAGGACTGAATTATTCAGAAATTTTGAAAAATTGGTGGAATTCCCCTTTAAGGACAAGAGCTTTCATATTAGTTTTATTACATTAGCTACGTTACGTTAGACTTTTATTATGTACTGTTGCCAAAATCTGATAAAACCGAGTTTTCTAGATAGAATGTGTTCACTTTTAAATGTGTTAAAAATAAATGAAACATGTTAAAAAAAAACCCAAATAATTGTATTTTTTCACCAAAGCCTTTACTTTGAAGTGCGTCTAAAACCAAATGACGCCGGTTTCATACATGGCTAGCTAGCTAGCTGAGTTAACTAAGAGGCTGCAGGGTAACATCAGGTAATCACAATGAACAGCTCTGGATAATTTGTCAGCCATTTACGGTACTACTTAACACATCAGACTCTGTATTTATTCGGATATCGATAATTAAGACGATTAGCAGTGCTGATAAACTCAGATTATTTATGTAGTTGACCTTTTAATTTGGGGTGCTGCGTTTACTGTTAGCTTAGCTTACCTTAGCTAGCTAGCCGACGAGGCTGAAGTAGGTACCATTTCGCCAGCTTCTTGCTCGAATATTCCCCTTCCACCTTAAATGGTGCTGCAGTTACACTGTGGCCTTGGGCCTCAGAATGTAACTGCAGGACCATTTAAGGTGGAACGGGAAAGTTCGAGCAAGAAGCTGGTGAAAGAGAAATGGACTTGAGCTTCGTGGCTAACTGGCTGCCCACAGTTCTGGTCTGTATGACAGCTCAGTCATTCAGGCTGACATTTGTCTCATATGTGACTTGAGACGTGAACATACGAAGAGTCTTTCATTTTATAATATTCAGCCAGAAACAGGTCAGAAACTTTCAACAAAGAACGATAAACAGGTAACTAGCTAACCTAACTAGCTAACGGTACCGAACATTAGAGAACGATAACAAACTAAGCTAAGCTAACGCCTTGTTCTTTCAACGCAGACAAATCCTCGGTTCGCTCCAGAAGCGTATTTTTCAAACATTTTGTTTCGTGTTTACACTTTGAGGAAGCTTCCTTTCTTTTTCCATGTAACGTTAGTAATGTCAGATAAAAGTAGCTAACTTACAACGTACAGGGTATTTTTATGTAATCTTACTTGTATGACACTGTCACACTGCCAGCTGATCCACCAGCATCACCTTTTATTCTCGTGAGTTAACTTCTTAATCACTCCAGTGTTTTCTGTCTTTATCATGTTTTCCAGTCTACTTGAATTGCCCACTGATTGGAGGAGTCCTGCCTTATTCGGGAGATCCCTTAACTACTTTTAGTGCCTGCCAATGGAGCTGGCACACAGTCTGCTGCTCAACGAAGATGCCTTGGCCCAGATTACAGAAGCCAAAAGGCCAGTCTTCATATTTGAATGGCTTCGGTTCCTCAATAAGGTTCTTATAGCCGCCAACAAGGTAGGATTGTGCTTTATACATAGAGTTTTTCACAAGTAGTGACTATTTTCTAATTACATAATAGTGGACACTAGTCAGTTGTATAGAGCATCACTGTAACTCTTCTTTAATGTAATATAATTTTCTTTGTTCATGATATACGTTGTTGGGATTGGGCTTTACACGTAGAAGAAATATCAATGCTATATTATGATTAATACCACCTTTATTAGAGAAATAAAAACGTGTTTTATTAAACATCAGCTTTTATTCTCTTCCAAAACTTTCAACTTTGTTATAAATACAACATTTTGGAAGGAAACTCCTTAATTACTGAAAGTCCACATATATTTGGCATGTCTATCTTTTGCCTTAGAAATTACTACTTTAGTCAATGTTCGGTCTTATTTTTTAGAAGAAGGTAGAAGACAACTAACACTGCTAGCATTTAAATCAGGACTGTCCTGACGTTTTGTTTTGGGGGCAAAAGCATGATTTTTTTTGGTGGGCAGAAGGCCAAAAAAGGCAAAACAACATGCAAGCTTGGCAGGTTTGAAGTCAAATTTGTTAAATTATATTTTTACACTGCATTTTGGTTTTACAATACTTAAAAATACAATTTTATAAGGAAAATATGTATTCAATAAGTTATTGGAATGTAGTACATAAATATGTTCCCTTGTTGAGTGAGATGATGGGCTTAGGGTAATTTTCTGGTGGGCCAAATCAAGCATTTCATATCCAATTAGGCCTGCTTGCTCTACTTCAGGCAGCCCGGGTTTAAATGAAATATTTGGCATCACAACAATTTTAAAAAAATGAAGCAAGTGGTATACAAACAGGTGTTTCAGTGCTATATGAATGTTTCTTAAATAGCAAAACAGCAGTTTACATTGCCTTCATTTGTTTTAAACAATGAGCTCTTGATTAGTGAATATCAGCCAGACAAAATACTGTTTAGTAAATAAGGAAACAATGAAAACTGTTCTTGGTAGTGGACTATCAAGGACACATTTGAGTGTTTATCTGAAGTAGCCTGTTTGGTCACCAAGAAAACTCTCTTTGAACAGGTCGATGTGAAGGAGAAGCAGAAAAAGCTGGTGGAGCAGCTCACTGGGTTGATAAGCAGCAACCCTGGACCTCCGACGCGAAAGCTCCTGGCTAAGAATCTTGCTACTCTCTACAGCATCGGCGACACCTTCACTGTTTTCCAGACGCTGGACAAGTGCAATGACATCATCAAGAACAAGGACGACACTCCAGCCTATCTGCCCACCAAGCTGTGAGTTTGCAGCTTATGCCTTTCTTTTGCCACAGGAGCATATGTTTGCAGTTTCCTGTCACTGCAGTTTCTTCACTTTTTAAATAGACTCTTAGCATGGTGTGGTAAGTCATTTGTTGTTGCTTTCCGGTTGCGTGTGCATATGTGGGCAGCTGTACAGTCTTATTGCATTAATATTGCAGAATTTATCATCAGTTGGCTTTTCGACATGGTCATGTAGAGGTTGAGGTCCAACCGGTATGTCTTGTGGCTAATAATGTCTTCATTGATGACCTGCAGTTTTGCATGTATTAGGTGAAATATTGCTGATAACTTGGTAATAATTAGCAACTTTTTTTGGTCACGGTGTCTCCAGAATTGAAAGGTGCTATCTATTGATGACAGGGCAGAATTGGAGATGGTTGTGCCACTGGGGGAACCCAGTAAATCTCATCCCCTGTTTAACCATATGACAGCAATACAAACTGATCTGGTGAATTTCAACACAAAACACCATCATGGTTAAATCACAAAAACATGCACAATGTATCCAAACTTAACTAATATGCCATAACACAAAAAAACGCTCTGTCTTAAGAGAACTAATGAAATAAATATGTAAAACACAGAAACCAACACAGCAAAGAATAATAGGTAGCTCCATCTTAAGTGCTGCAAGCCTTTTTGACATTTTGAACGGTCTGTCAGTGAAGGACTGTTCAAATTAAACTTTTAGACTGCAAACATTAAAATGTAAGATTTATATATAACATTATAGCAGCCAAATTGATCTGTTATTGCAATTATTAGCTCCCTAAAATCAGCACTGATCACAGCATTTTCATATTGGTCAAGTACTAGTAGAGGGTGCATTCTAGGTATTGGTTGATGTTTGCTTATGTACTAAAATAATGCCTGTAGCCTATTTCAATTTGAAAGCAAGTTCCATTCCCAGGAAGTATTGTGTATGAATATAACTTGACAGCTTTTGACTGCAATACTGCCCATTAGCAAAAGAAATAAAGGTTAAATTAAAGAGAAAGCAGATGGCTCACTAGGCTGACCTAAACTGTTTACATCAAGGTTCAGAAATAAAAAGGACAGTTGTGATTTCTGTGTTGATATTGACGTTGAAACAATCTAGTTTTGCTTAAATATTATTTATCATCATTACCAGCTATCCTAATGCCATTTTTCTGTTTATTTCCTTACTTTTTCTTTTTGTAGTGCTGCAGTGGCTTGTGTTGGGGCCTTCTATGAGCGAATGGGCCGCATGTTGGGCAGCTCTTTCCCTGAAACCATCAACAACCTCCTAAAAGCCCTGAAGAATGCTGAGGTAAAGTGAGCTAACATCATCTACTCAGCAATGCCTCACATTCTCCAGCTCAGTTTGTAATAATTTATGCTTATCACGATGAATCTCTGTGAATTCTGTGCGCCTGCTTTTACTCATAATGATAATTAGCTCCTGAGTTGAATCAGATATGTTGGAGAAGGAACTGCTTACAGGATGGCTATTAAAAATATCAAAAAAGAAAATGTGCATGCAGTGCACATGAAAGTTACAACAGCTTTTCTCATGACAACAGGTTTAATTTAACACTGATAACTAGAGTTATTCTAGTTATTTTGCTAGCTGGGACATACTCATTAAAGTAATTATTTAAGTGTAATTACACAATAAACAGGCCTGGAAAAAGTACTGAAAACCCCTACTTCAGTAAGAGTACTGTTATCATAGTGGTAATTTACTTGAGTACAAATAACCTATTAATAAAGGAAATTACACAAGTAAGAGTCAATAAGTTGTTTATTGAAAAAACGCTTACAGAAATAATCTTTACAAACTAAAGCCAGGCATAATATTAATGACCATGTCAAAATATCCTGATTGCATTAATGCTAAATTCTTCTGTTTGTTTTTTGTATTGTTTCAGTCTCAGGGTCGTAGTGAGATCCTCCTTAGCCTCCAGAAGGTTCTGAGTGGCCTGGGTGGTGCTGCTGCGTCCTGCCACAGAGACATCTACAAAAACGCCCGCTCTTTACTCACTGACAGGTCCATGGCTGTACGCTGTGCTGTGGCTAAGGTCAGTTACAGCTTTTATGATCATTTATCGTTCCTTTAGAGGGAGCCCTCTACTTATGCATTAAAGTATGTTTTCTTTAGTGTGATGGAAAATTTGAACACTCCAACCAAACCAACATATTGGTTTGATTGCCAAATAGATTGCCAGATATAGCTCACTTCTATGCGGTCAAAAAGCCTACATCACCATGTTTTTTCTGCACTGACAAATTAGATCAATGCTAAGGTGAGCCTTCAGCTGTAACGGAGGAGGGATTAATAGTTTCTGTCCGTCATAGGTCAAAACTGTTTACATGCACAAAAAGCTACATAACACACTAAAGGAAAGGGAAAAATCAGAAAAGCATAATAGGTTTATTGGGACAGAGTGGGGCTGACTGATGATGGTTTTTTTTCTTACAGTGTTTACTGGAACTGCAGAATGAGGCTGTGTTCATGTGGACCACTGAGCTGGAGAACGTGGCCACACTGTGTTTCAAAGCTCTGGAAGGCTCAACGTACGGTGTGCGCGTGGCTGTGTCCAAGCTGCTGGGGACAGTAATGGCTACTGCACTCATGCCCAAACAGGCTGCAGGTGACTGCACAGCATGTTTTCTCCTTTATCCGAATCAAATCATTGTTGAATTGTAATTATTATGGGTGGTCCCACACATATGCAGATGTTCAGTGTTTAATTGGTTGGAGGACCTAAATTAATTTTGATCAGATTCTTGTATTAAATGGACTGAAGATATGAAGTTTCTGTGACCATGTCACCCCCATAGCATACTGCAATCTGTCAGAATGACCGTGTGGATCATATGAACATCATAGAGTGCATTTGTTTTTAAGTGAACAGTGTGTTGTTATAGTGGCTTTTTTTTTAACACATGCATTGTTGATGATTTTGTCAACTAAGCGTTGTAGCACTGTTGTAATAATTATGCGATTGCATGTAGCTTTCAGTTTTTTAAAGTGTTTACAGTAGTTATTTGAAGGCATTAACTGTGTTGTATTTGCTGCGTGTCAGTAATGCGTCAGAATGTGAAGCGAGCCACGCTGGAGGAAGTACTGGAGCTGATGGCCACGGGCTTCCTGCGGGGTGGCTCTGGCTTTCTGAAGAGCGGTGGAGAGATGCTTAAAGGAGGAGGCTCGGTCAGCAGAGAGGTTCGAGTGGGGGTCACTCAGGTGAGGCAGTGGACCACAGCAGTGGAACCTCAGTTCTTCATTTGGAAATTTCTCGTGCTTAAAGGCACTCAAATTCATGCCTAAAACCAGAAGAAATTACAGCACAGTATATATAGAGAACTATATAAAACTCAAAACAGTAGCCAGTACATTATTAGCAAACACAGCTTTGAACACATTTGTTTCAAAACGATAGGGTCTAACTGCTCACTATGTGGCCATGAGCGACAGGGATACAGTCTCACTTCGAGCTCTAAAATGCAGGGGTGTGGCTAAAACAAGGCTCTGCCTGTGGACTAAAACTCCATGTTTTGGTGTTGACATGAATACATGGGACAGCATTTTTTTATTAAAGTGTTTTCTATTCAAAAATTAAACTTATGGTAAATCTATAGTTTTGAACTTTACAAGAAGTCAGAAGGGTCTTGAAATGGAAAAAAAAACAAAAAAGCTATTAGATAATAATGATACAATTATGACATAACTGCATAATCAGTTACTTAGTTACTTGAATAATTAATTGCATTTACATTTTATTGAAATTCAAGTCTGCTTTTCTGACTTTTTCATTTGTTTCAACATTTATGACATGCCTTTTGTTGATTGCTGAAGATTAAATAGATCAAAATTGTACTCACTATGCAGCTGTCTCTGTCCCTGCAGGCATATGTGGTATTTGTGACCACTCTAGGCGGACAGTGGCTGGAGCGGAACTTCGCCACCTTCCTCTCTCACGTGCTGGAGCTGGTGGCTCACCCACGGGCCACACAGACACACGTAGAGGCGGTGTACTCGCGCCGCTGCGTCTCTTTCGCCCTGCGTGCCACACTGGGCGGCCTGTTGGGGGAAAAAGCCCAAATTGCTGCCGCCAAGGAGATCTGCCAGGCCATCAGCAAGCAGATGAGGGCAGTGGGTAAGGAGGAAAATAGGGGGGAAATGTCCGGTTTCAGAGCATTGCAGAGTAAGTACTATAGGTTTCTAGGTTTGTTTTTTATTTTGTGTGTTCCTCTTTTTGGAATTAAATCTCCTGATTTAGCTGGGTTGAGGTGGTGTGGTGCTGCTTTTTTTGCTTTCTTCAGTTCATTCTATTTTTATTTTTCTCTATTTCACTAAACTTTACTTCTCTGTGTCATGCTGTCACCAGTAGGCTTGTTGTTTTGCTGAAGTGTTTTAAAAACTTCAGTGAAGTTTCTGGCCCAACCAGCTAAATTGAGGCAAACTGTATGTTCAGTTTCTTGTACAATGCTGGTTTAATTTTAGGTTGAGGTAGCATTCAAATTGTGTTGTTACTGGTATCATTTAACTCATATTGATACCTGGTCTTCCACCAAATATTCAAAATGTCTATATAATTCTGTTGCTGAGATACAGACAGAGTCGTTTAGAGTGGTTTGATATGGAATGGTTAATTCTAGAGAAAATTAGTGACTCAGAATTCTTCACACCTGTGGTGATAAGAACCATTGGTCAAGATATCTGTAACACAAATATACCCATTTTATCTAAAACCAGAACATGCATGTCTTCTTATATGATAGAGATGAATCAATAGATTTTATTCTTCAAAATTCTCCCTTAACCCCTTAAAATCCCAGACTGGTTATTCAGTAACTACATGTTATTCTTAATTCATAGGAGTCTGAAATTGGTCCCATTTAAGGGGTTAATTACATGCTATATAAAGATACAATACAGTTTTGTACTATGTGTCAGAAATGGAAGCCTCTATGGTCTGTTTTCATGTAACAAGTCAGTAAATCAGATTTATCAAATTGTATTATAATTAATGCCAAATAGTGAAAAGTAGTGGGAAATGCTTTTAGCACATTGTCATGCTCTGAAATCCTTTACTAGGGGCAGTTTTTACATTTGGGGCCAAGTAAAGCAATTCTGTCTTGTTTAACTGCGAACTTCCCACAACATAACTAGTGACAGCACGTTGTCTTGTCTGACATATTTGGTATTGACCTAAACCAAGCCCATAGTTGTGCGTGTCATGGCCACATCTTTTATGTTCTGATTTCTCTTTTTGTTTTTAGACTCTTACTCTGTGATTTGCTTTGAACCTGAAAAAATCTGCCATGTTGATCACCTCTCTCTCTTACATGTAGTATTTGGCATTATTCTGCTATTCACTGCCCTAGCAAGTATAATTGACAGCAAAAAGATTGCTTATTATTTTAGCCTTAGAAAGACACTTTATGCACCATCACAGTAATTGCTATTTTGTATTTGAGTGGTGTTTATATATAACAAAAAGGCAATGTTAGAAAAGTCAAATTGTTTAAGCCTAAATCACAATATTACCCTTACACCATTACATTTTAGAAGTGTAAATCAGAAACACTTGTCTGTTTTGAGATATTTTAATATTTTTCTTAACATTGCCTCACGATCTGACCAAAAAAGTTTAAGATATAACTTTGTCAGAGACATAAGACATCAACAATGACAGTGAATGCCAGAATAATCCCGTTTCGATCTCAATTAACTCATATACATGATTCAAGTAACGCAAAGTGTATGCTAATTCTGAGTCCTCTTTGCTTGAAGCCACTGAACCTAAATTGGTCACATTGAAGAAACTCAAAAACCATCTTCTCTCTTTTAATCTCTTTGTCCTGCTGCTGTGGTACGTTGCTGTGGTTACAGAAGCAGTAGTGAGTGACAGCAGTGGGGAGAATAAAGGCGGGGCAGCGGACGTTTCGGCTAGTCAGCATGTGATGGTGTGTGCTCTGAAAGAGCTGGGCAGTCTGGTCCAGAGCCTCAGCGCCACAGCCTCTCCTCTCATACAGGAGCCTTCTATCGGTAACGCACATATACACACACAACTCATATATAGTAATAGCAGGGATGCAGGAAGATGTTTTAAATTGGGGGTGCAGAAGTTTTAAGCAGCATATACGTGACGCTCACTACAACATTATAAGTATACCCAATAATTTTTTCCATTTAAACGAAAGGTGGATAGTCAACGACTGTTAACTTCAGTCAACAAAAGTTAGCTTCAGTTTTGAAAATATATAGACAGAACATAATATATATATATATATATATATATATATATATATATATATATATATATATAAAAAATAAACCCCAGGTCAAACACAGGTCTTTATTTTTCTTTAATAAATATCTAAATATCTTATTTAAATAGTTATTTATATTTATTGTAATATTAGTGTTTTTCTGAGAAAATAAATGCATAATCACTAATTAAATAGCTTTTTAAATCTAATTTTCTCAGGTGCCTAAAACTTCTGCACAATATTATATATGGTAGAACATGTATTTGTTGAGCACTACTATATGTATATAATGTTTTTGTTGATTTTCTATGAAAATAAGTACACATGCGCTACAGAGAACACTTCTGCTTTTTAAAGCGGAAATGTTGTGTTTTTGCTGAATTTAAAAAATAAAACATAAAATAAGGCATGTACAAAGGATATGGCACATTTAATATTGTTTTTTTTCCTAATCTGTTAAATTCAGCAAATGAATAGATGCGTGCAAAAGTTACAGAAAAATGAGAATTTGTTTGTATGTATGTTGTAAATATTGTACTCATGTCTACCATGTCCACCTCAGGTCTGCTCGAGACTGTGACATCAGTCTTGCTCCACCCCAGCATGGCGGCTCGTCTGGCAGCAGCCTGGTGCCTGCGCTGTGTTGCCGTGGCGTTGCCCTATCAGCTGACCCCTCTACTGGACCGCTGTGCTGAACGCATCAACACCCTGAAGAGCTCACCTGAGGCCGTCAGCGGCTACAGCTTCGCCATGGCTGCTCTGCTGGGCGGAGTGTACCAGTGCCCACTGGGTATCCCTCATTCCAAGGGCAAGGTCTGCTTCCCTTTATTCACCGGTCTCTTTCTGGAACTTAAACTGATAATTTTATTAAAAAACTAATTTACACAATTTACCCTTATCTGTACCTTGTGTAGCTAAAAACAGAACCACCTTGAAGTCAGAATTTTGTATGTCTTGTTTTGTATGTTCAGTATGTCTTTCAGTGTCAGACACTATATAAACCCATCTCTTGAGGGAAGTCTGTGACAGTAGGTATGCAGTTGTGCAATTTTAATTACATCCATTTATTGTTAGCTACACTAGCCTCAGAGCTGCAAACTAAAGAAGTAAACTTCAGGCACCAAGCTTGTGCTGGTTGATCAACTACATTTGGAGGAAGGGGGAAATTTGTGTATATCTGGTCTTAAAGAACTATCACTTTAAAGCCTCTTTCTCACAGACTTCTCATGTGATTTTGTTCTACTACAGTATTACACTGTGCCTTGTGTAATGTAAAAACAAGTCTAATGGCAGATCTTATATGCTTTTTAATTATATGTAATTAGTTGCGTTTTTTTATTGCTGTCTTTGTTTGCGATGACTTGCTGCAGTTTGCTGATTATCGCTGCTCTGCTGTGCCCTCTCCTGGTGTGCGGTGCTTAATGAATTGATTAATGGCTGATAAATTAAATTTTTATTCAACATGTCCTTGTTATCAAACTTTAAACTTGGCGTCTGAAAGGGATTAAGTAGTATTCACCAAAACCTGCGCAGCCGCACCTTTTATTTGTCAATGAGTCATTTGCAATGCTGCTTGAGTTGCTGGGATGTCACTTTAATTGTTAAGATGCTCCTTCCTGGATTGCATTATGTGGTTATTGATGAATTTGTTTATTTTCTTATTGATCTTTACAGTAAATATCACTACAAAGCAGCATTGCAGAAATATCAGTCTAAACAGCTGAAAAACAAATAGCTTTAGCCGCAGAGTGTCTGTTAATTCTTCCTGACTATTATATTGTACTGTGTTATTGCTTTAGATGGTAGTGAGTATAGCAGAGGATCTGCTGCGTTCCGCAGCTCAGAACAGTCGCCTCTCTCTGCACCGCACACAGGCTGGCTGGCTGCTCCTGGGAGCCCTCATGACTTTAGGTGAGTTCAAATCACTTGTCATATTATTTTTATGCTTTCATATATATTTTTTGTCACAGTCATTGCTAACAGGTATATAAAGTCAAGCACACAGCCATGCATTCTCTATAGGCATGGGTCATACTGAAGAGCTTAGTGACTTTAAACAACACTAAATAGTCGCTCTTCCAAGATCATCACTGGTCTGTCTGTTCAGGCTCATCTCTGGTGCGCTACCACCTGCCGAAGATGCTACTGCTGTGGAGAAACGTGTTTCCCCGCTCACAGAAAGAGCTGGAGGCAGAGAAAGCCCGAGGAGACTCCTTCACCTGGCAGGTTACCCTGGAAGGCCGAGCTGGGGCACTTTGTGGTAATTCTGCTTATACAAACCTCTTCAGTAGACTTAGCCTGGAAAAGTGTCAAACTCAGGAACTTGAGCACATTAGTATTTACTCTTCTCCAGTAGACTCGTTTATCTCTAATGAAGCCGTTGGTAATTAGCTGCTGATGTGAATTATTTGTATTACTTTATTGAAAAAACTAACTTGAAATTGCTATTCCTGTTTATTTGCTGCATTTAACGCATTGGGAAAAACATTAATAAAACATTAAACAGGACCTGTGCAAAAATTATGGCATGTTTTATATTTTATGTTTTGTATTTTTTGCAATGTGTGACAACTGTAAAATGCAGGCAGTTTAGCACAGTAGCCCAGTGTTACATTCTGCTCTTCTGGAGTACAACACATACATTACATATCGATTTGAAATATCAGTCATTGATTGTCAGTTATTTAGATTTTCCCCCAAACTTCACTTTAAGACAACACTAATGTAGCAGATAATTAAAAAAGCAGCTGATGTTATCTAACTGAAAATAGCTTTTGTATACTGTTAGCTATATTAGCATTTGCAAGAGGAGTATTTTTTTATTTAAAAAAAGATGACCCTCTGTGCCCTTCTCTTGGCAGCCATGCGAAGCTTCGTGGCTCATTGTCCGGAGCTGCTCACTGAGGACGTGATCCGCAGACTGATGACTCCTATTGAATGTGCCATGACCATGATGTCTCAGTAAGTAACGGTTCTTTTACAGTCATAATGTCAACTGTTCCATAGGTTAAAATGTTGTCAAATCAGATTTTAAGAAGCATTGAACTCACTTTGACTAAGCCTCTTTGAACTTTTTAGCCTAACTTGATTTATATACCTAAACTGACAGCTTGGAGAGGATGCAAAGGAACAGGGGCTGAAGTACTGCATATCAATAAAGTAGACGGTTGTGCTGGTTGCTGTTTGAGGTCAGTGGATGGTCAAGCTGATTGTTGCTGTGTTTGCAGTATTCCTGCAGTTATAAAGGTACATGGGGCTCACCTGAAGGCCAGTGCTGCCATGGTGCGTCTGAGACTTTATGACATTCTGGCCCTGCTTCCTCCCAAGACATATGAAGGCAAGTACTGCAAAGTGTAATTGTCATATTTAATTTAATGATTGTACGACATGGCTACTGCCAGTTTTCGATTTTTCGATTTTTGTTTTCTGATTTCATTTGAACTATGAATGGTTTAAAGTATGTTGTAATGTCTTAGTAATTAATTATGTTCTCTAGTATTATTATTATTGCAGATATATCTGAATCCTACTATCCACAGGTAGTTTCAGTGCTCTGTTAAGGGAGCTGGTGGCTGAGTTCACTCTGACAGATAATTCAGCCAACACAACCACCTCCTTGCTTCGTTCGCTCTGTCACTATGATGACAGTGTCCTTATGGGCTCCTGGCTGCAGGAAACTGACCACAAGTCTATCGAAGATCAGGTGACATTTCTCTGTAGCATTACATTGACGTTATAGTTCATAAAGCATCTGCTTAATAATCTGCTTTATTGTTCATTTAGAGGTGATGGCAAGTGTATAAAATCTTTCTTCTTAAGCTAATTTGTTTGTTAAGAAATTTATGATTAAGGTTTGCAGTTAAATATTAAATGCAGGTGCATTTTGCTATTATTGTCTAATCCAACTTAGTATGTGGGACCTACTTTTTTTATTTATTTATTAAAGCTGCCCTATTACCTGTATGCTTACTGTGAACTATATAAATGAACAATACTTCACCTGAACACAGTGGGCAGCCACTATAGACAGCAGGTGTTGTGCCAGATTCTGACTCCATTTTTATTTTCACACACATCACGTAGGCAGATGGACACTACAGATTACTTTTGTGATTTCTGTTGTTTGTTTTTATAAATCTTGGATAATCTTGAAGTGTCAAGCTGAGGAGTAGGAATATGGCACAGCAACGGAAAAGATGTGGGTGACCGTTGAGGTCTAACGTTTGTCAGCAGCATTAGCCTCATTGCTTTTTGTTAAACTAATCCTTTAAATGGCAGGACTTGTTTGGTCATTTTCACCTGCTGTTTCCTGCTGTTTAATGGTTTTGTCTTTTTAAACAGCTGCAGCCCAACAGTGCGTCGGGCAGTGGTGCTCTGGAGCATGACCCGTCCTCGATATACCTGCGGGTTCCTGTGGGAGAAGCCATTCCCGGACCATTGCCTCTGGGTGTGTCCGTCATCGATGCCTCTGTGGCACTTTTCGGGGTGGTCTTCCCCCATGTCTCTTTTAAACACAGGTGAGAACACTGAATAAAAGAATAGAACTGTTTTCTGTATAGAGGGACCATTTTGCATAACAGTTTGGGTTTACAGGAATTTGATATGCAGAGATAATATACATTTAGAACTTTGTAGTAGGTAAAACTACTGCTGCTTTGAAATTTAATTTAAGAGAAAAAAGAAGAAACTTTTCATGTTTCAGTCATTTTTTAGATTCCAAATTGTTTCAGCCCAGTGTGAAAAAATTAAGGTCAGAATGCTGTGTGAGTTGCCTGTTTACCTGGCTGCTGTATTTTTCAGGCTCCAAATGCTGGATCACTTTGCTGAGTGCATCAAACAGGCTAAAGGAGTCCGACAGCAGGCTGTTCAACTCAACATCTTCACCGCTGTCCTGAGTGCTTTGAAGGTGTGTTTTTTAAAACTTAACCCACATGTAGCAGAAAGTACAGATTTAAGAAAATAGTTTGTCAAAAATCTAATTTGCTCAGTTTTCCCCTTACCTCGTACACTTCTAAAAAAAAAAATCAGGCTTCCAGACATAATGCTGTTTTTATGCCCTTTTGTGCATGTTTATGGACATAATCTTTCTGTTTATAGCTACCACTATGTCATACAGTGATCAAAACCAAGTTGAGATTACTTAACAGATTGACACACTTAGAGGCAAGCTATGAGGCCTAATGTCGTTAATAAATTTTCCATTATTTGTTAAAGACATTAGGCTTTATATCTCCAGTGCAGAACTAAAGAAGCAAACTTTAGACACTTGACTGATTGCTTTCATTTTGAGTTAAGAGGGGAGATTGTGTAAATTTGATGTTTGCTGAACTGTTCTTTTAAGGCAAATCTAGTAATTCATAGTCAAGTAACTAGTAATTCATAGTTAAGGTCTACACGGAAAGTTGATGTGTACACTACATGATTTTTGGCCGATTTTAACCCTGTTTTGCCCTTTCAGACAAATTTTAAACGGTTTTTCAGGTCAAGAGCTCGATCATAAGTGGTTGATGGTGAGCATGATCTGATAGTAGTGAGAGATAATCAGCAGTATAACTAAATGAGTGATTCAGGCAACAGCCATTGAAAGAAAGAAAAAAGAGAGGAGTTCAGCCTTTATAATGTTTATTATTATGAACGTCAAGGCATTCTCTTAACAATTCCAAGTCTGCTGCCAATTTACGGTAAAATATTTCTCCTGAAATTTTTGCGTTTTCCAAATTTTCATTCCCATACGCATAAAAGCACAAACATGTCTGGTCCAGTGTAGTTTTGTTTGTATGAGGTGAAAACAGGGGAGATTTGAGATTTTGAGTCTTTTTTCATTGCCGAACCTCATTATGTGTGCCACACCCTCTTATTTGTTTTATCGTCTGTGTGTGGCCTCACAACAAAAATAAAAGAAATTCTGTTAAGTGTGTGATGCTCTCCATTTTAGAAATCTGTTTCATAGCTCAAAACGAGTTAAAGGGCCCATGTCATGGAAAATCAAATTTTCTTAGCTTTTTGGTAAAAGTTTGATGTGGCATGTAAACATTGTTAAAATCCGCATATCAAAGCATATCATTCACTCCCAGTCTATATAGTCCATTTGTGAAAATAAAACTGCAAAAACAGCTGTTTTGAATTCATTGTTTTTGTGACGTCATGAAACCCGGCACCCTTAAAAATATCTGCCTTTTCAGCCTGAAGCTGTTTAGCACCGCACGCTCACAGTAATAAGGGATAAAGAGAGGTTGGAGAATGGTCATGCAGAAATAAATTATGACTGTTCTAGTACAATAAACTACACAAATACTGTATGTGGGATAAAAAATAAAATACAAGAAAAATGTAAAACTGGGCTGTACTCATGGTGTGTCCTTTTTTCCCACTGTCTGTGTGTCTCTGCGTAGGGTCTAGCTGAGAATAAGAGCACGCTGGGCCCAGAGGAGGTGCGGAAGTCAGCTCTTGCTCTGGTGATGGGTGCTCTGGATAACCCAAACCCCATCCTGCGCTGTGCTGCTGGAGAAGCTCTAGGCCGCATGGCTCAAGTTGTAGGAGAAGCCACCTTCATAGCCAGCATGGCCCAGCACAGCTTTGACAAGTAAGAGCATCAACCACTGTTCAGGCAATGTCTGAATTGGAAAAAAGCACTGTAATGGATTATGTCTGATCACATTCCCAACACTTGCTGTGCTAAGTGCCATAAATTTACATGTACTTTTTTTTATTAATTTAACAGAAACACTTATAAACACTGACTAAGAGCAACAGTTCACCCAAAAATCAGATTTTTAACACTGGAATGATTTACTACTACTGCTATTTGCAGTAGTAGTAAATCTCTGAATTTTGTCTGACTGTTGATAGCAGTGTGCCATACAGTATTAGAAACCACATAAACAACCCAACGGCCAGATCAAAATATGTGCAGACAGCAGATGGTGCTGCAGCATTTCAACGTTATTTCATTGTTGCTCTTGCTGAGTGCAGTGTGGCTTATCACTAAACTCCTTGTCCCTTGTATGTTTAGATCACAAAATTAAGAGAAGTTGAATGTTTTGCTGCATAATTGTTAACAGATTGTCTGATTGTCTGCTGTATCGATCAGGCTGAAGTCAGCGCGGGATGTGGTGTCCAGAACGGGCCACTCTCTGGCTCTGGGCTGTCTGCACCGGTACGTGGGTGGCATCGGTTCAGGTCAGCACCTCAAGACCAGTGTGAGCATTCTGCTGGCCCTGGCTCAGGACGGCACCTCCCACGAGGTTCAGGTGAGATCTTGCAAGGATGTTTTTACAGACTTTTTCATTGTGTTCTTATTCACAGTAGAGCAAGTGTTGTCTTTTATAAACCTTTGGTTTTGACCGTTGTCCAAAAGATGCAGTTTGTAGGGCAGGGTGTATTTAGCAGGTCAAGTCTCTCAATTATTCTAAAATGCTCTAAATCACCTAAATATTCTTCCCAGTTTGTTGTCATGAGGACCTTTCCTGTAGAAATCAAGACAAACTAGGTTTTGCTTACTTTGTCAGTGAAGTAGAGTAGCTGGGAGATAAATTTATAACATTACAGTACTTCATGACTTTGTGATTAACAATATGAACAGCAGTATTTATTTTTTTTGAAGTTTGAAGTTGGAATGGTCACAGTGCAAATAACAAAACATAAAAAACAAGAGAAAACTAAATGTTAATTGAAATGAGAAAAAAATGGCAGGAATAAATGAATATAATAAGAGAATGACATTGATTCTATCAGTTTATGCAGTCACTATACACTGGTTGTTGTTTACAAACATATGCATATACATATAGTTTTATTGCCAACCCTCATAGTGAACTTTATGATGCGTTGTGTGTTCATGGCCTCATAAGCTTGTTTTTATGTGTGTTATCACAGACATGGGCACTGCACTCTCTGGCTCTAATCGTGGACTCCAGTGGTCCGATGTACCGGGGTTACGTAGAGCCCACGCTGTCCCTAGTGCTTACCCTCCTCCTGACTGTGCCCCCATCCCACACAGAGGTCCACCAGTGTCTGGGCCGATGCCTGGGGGCCCTCATCACCACCGTCGGACCAGAGCTACAGGGTATTGGACTTACTCACATTCATTCATCTGCACTACCGGTGCCAAATTGCAGTCTCGGAGACCAGTATTACACACTTGTATCTGTTTCAATCTGAAATTAGCACAGATAACAAATAATGGCCAGTGTTAGTGGTTTTGAGCAGAGATAAAACGAATTGAATCTACTGAGTGATATGACCTTCCATGGGAAAGTACTTTGGCCAATGATCTTTACAAGTTTCAGAGCAAGATTATCACATTATTTGTTTTTTGGATATGCAGATGGCTAGAGTAGAATTTAATTCCCAAAGAATTCTCCAGCACCTTTCAGCCTGATCTCTGTCTGACACTGTATTGTCGATAGCCTTGGGCAGTAATTCACTGCACATAGAAGAGTCAAGTTTACGCGAAACTTAGTTATAATAGAACCGGTAAACATTTACCTTACTATGCGACCTTTGGCTTCTGTGGTAAGCATGTTTAGAGACAAAGGCCCTTGTTGGTTAATGATGCCATCATAAAATGAGGTTTCACTGACTTTTTTGTTGGTTATCAGTTTCACCTTTGGCATATGAAACACTTGGCTGGTAGGATTGTCTGTAAATTTGAGCATAATAGTTTAACAGCCTGAAAAAAATACTTGTTTTGGAGTTAACTAACCAAAATTATTAGTATCATCTTTGATACCACTAATAAGAATAAAAAATAGTCATGCTAATAGTTTGTGCAGATGGCAATCCAGTACAAACGTGGATGTACTTATTTTACATGCACATTGGTATAAACAAATGCTGAAACTATTCCATGTTACAAGACATATTACACTGCGCTTTTGTTTTATACTATGGAGGCTGCCCAATAATACATAGCTAGTGCAGAAGTATCGTTTACACCATAATAATTATACAGCATTTAAACATGTTATTTTTGGAAAATAATCACACTATACATCAAATCATTCTTCAGTCTCAAAAAGCTAGACATTTTGTGTCTTTTACATTTGATTCTTTCTAGTCGTCATGATTTCAATACTGTAAAGTTTGGTAAATAGGGGGAGCTGTGCATGTGCTGCTCAACCTCAAAACTGCCTATGAGTACAACCCTTGACTCACCAGCTGCCAAAGCTGTCATTTTATTGGCTCCCCACCAAAACATCTGCATGAATTAGGGAGTACCTCTTTTAAATGATATGTAAGTGAGGTGCTTGTAGGCTGGCATTTCATTTCACGCACCGAACCTGATTCATGGTTTGCGCTCAAATCTCAGCTTGTTTCCACATTGTGTGAAAATTTCATAAATTAGACTGAGTAGTTCATACATCACTGAAGGTTGTCAAATCTGGCCACTGCATTTTTCATTTTTTTTTTTTTACTAATTATTAGTAGTGTTATGTTTTATAGTGAGACGTATTTAACTTATTACTACATATACAGGGAGATTCACTCGAAAGAGGCCCTGAATATTCTGTTGTAACTCCCGTTAGGATGAAGCAATCTGAACCAAAAAAACGCTACACACCTTGACGTATGTGTAATCGATTGCGTTACATGCGATGCTGGAAGTGATCTCCGTTTTCTGCCAGACACATTTCGACGCGGCGCTCTGTATTCCTGAATGTATCGGCGAGCATTAGAGAGGTTAAACATTGCAACGGCTGTCCAGCGCCTACCTCATCGCTCCGACACAGGGGCATTCTGGCTTGTTCAAAGCTTCGTAGCCTGAGGAGCACGTTGCATGTTGTTTCGTTCAGATTGCTTCATCCTAGCGAGAGTTATTACAGAATATTCAGGGCCTCTTTTCGAGTCTCCCTGACAATTAACATTGAGAACTGTACTCAACGTTGGAGTATAATTAATCAATTGCCTTTTTGTTGTCAGCAAAACCCTAAAAAAATAGATTAAAAAAATAAAATAATGTATATATGGATCAGCACCCTTCTTAAGCAGACTGGTCAAACACACCCTTCCTTCTACTCAACTTGTGATTCCCTCAAGTTTAAGGCTTTACGCAGTAAAACATAAATAGTTTGAAAGCAGCTGTTCCCAACTGAGAAGAGTGTTAATCATTTGAATGAGATGCCAAACCAGCACTTTTATTTGCAAGAACAGTCAGTTATAGATGCTGTTGATGTGTGTTTATTGGTCTCTAGGCAATAGTGCCACGATCTCCACCATCCGATCTTCATGCCTGGTAGGCTGTGCCATCATGCAGGACCACTCGGACTCTCTGGTACAGGCGGCGGCCATCTCCTGCCTGCAGCAGCTGCACATGTTCGCCCCGCGCCACGTCAACTTATCCAGCCTGGTGCCCTGCCTCTGTGTAAGCCTGCTGCCCGTTTTTAAGCACTGCCGTCTGTGTTTGATGATTGGATGTTGATTGGAGTGCGTGCTGTTTCCTAATTGCGCTGGGCTGATTGCATGTGTGTATGTGTTTGGAGCGAAAATACATGTTTTCATTGTTTGTAATCAGAGGGATTTTGTGCTTATATGTGTGTGCTACTCTGTTTAAATGCTGATTTCAATACTTTTGTATTTCTTCTATTTCCAGCGCTTCACAATGCAAATCCAATCCTCTTCACATTTACACACCTAGTGTCTTTCACTTTTCACAAAAGTATGTATTCGTAAGCATAAACAAAGATAAGGTCAAAAAACAAAATGGAAGGAGGGAATGTTTCCAGGCAGTGCATATTAATAATAGTATTTTTTTTTTGCAATTAGTACCATTGTTGGTAATTACAGCTTTAAGACATCTGTAGTAAGATGTATTTGGCTGCAGCACTGGAGTTCAGTTTTGGTCCATTCCTTTTTTCAAACTGTCTTCATGATATTCTCAGGATCATACCCTTCTTTCTCCAAACATGACGAGTTGAGTTATTGCCAAGGAGTTCTAATTTTGTTTCATCTGACTAGAGTGCAGCAAATTTTTGATGCGCGGTTCTGTGCTTCTTTTTTAGACCTGGAGTTCTGTGTGGGCTGTGGGAACGGAGATAAGCACATTGCTTATTGTTCTCTGTGTAACCAATGTTTCTGCTGCTTACAGGTCATCCTGCAACTCTTTTCGTGTGACTGCTGGCTTCTCTTTTACCTGCGTAATCATTAATCTGAGAATGTGATGTGAAATCCTGCATGGCACACACTTGCATGGCTTGGCTTGGGATAATTAGTTTTGGTTCCATGAACTTACTACTTGCATATTTTCAAAGTGGTTGTAATAACAGGGATGTCTAAGCCTTTTGCCATGACTCTGTAGCTTTTTCCATTTGAGTGTTGTTCAACGATATTGTCCCTAAGAACTTCAGAAAGCTTTAACATAGTGTATGAGTATTTTTTTCACTATTATTTTGTTTTTAAACAGATCTTTGTTTATGTTTATGAGTACGTACTGTTTGTTCATATTTATAAGTACAAAGGCATTATGTGTGTAAATTTAAACTGGATATATGCTCTGGAAGAATATTAAATAGCGAAAAAAACAAAAGTGTCTTTATACTTTTTTCCTTTTACTGTAGTTTTATTGATTGTTTTCAGATAATTGTTTTTGTCTGCATATGAGTATTTAAACATCTGATTTTCTAGATATAAGCAAATGATGTGTGTGTGTGTGTGTGTGTGTGTGTGTGTGTGTGTGTGTGTGTGTGTTTGCCTGACCCAGGTGCACCTGTGCAGTTCTCATCTCCTTTTGCGGCGGGCTGCGGTGGCTTGTTTGCGGCAACTGGCTCAGAGAGAGGCAGCGGAGGTGTGTGCATATGCCATGAGCCTTGCCAAGAAAGCTGGAGACAGCAAGGAAAGCACCACTATCAGTACGTATCATACTGCGTACATTGCTTACAGAGTTCACAGCTGTAGCCATTATATAACATTTTCTCATCACACTGTATTTGCAAAAATTGCACAAAGTTTTCAAAAATTAAGCACAATTAAATTGTTAAGGTGTCATAAACAATCATTCAGAGTGGTTTGATGTGAAATGTTCCATTCTATAGAAACTTAAGTCAGAATTGTTCACAGTGGTGATAGAAACCAGATATCTGAAGAGTTTAATGCCTCTAAAACCTCACACAGAAGTTATATCAAATTTATTAAGGTTATGAATACACTGCCTGATGCTTAAGACATAGTTTGGAGACAATTTTGGCCTAAAAGGGCATTTTAAAGACCATTCATGGCAGAAAGGTACATACAGACCATTATTTTACCATCATTAGCATTACATATAAAAACTCAGAAGAAACTTGTAGGTTCACTGGTGGTTTTGGCTAGAAAGTAAAATAGCTATATTTCTGTTGTCCACATTGTGACCTCTGGTTCCTATCACCATCACTATAAAGAAATATGAGCCAGTAAGTTTCTCTACAGTTAACCATTTTACATCAAACCACTCAAAGACCAATTATACAGAAAATCAGTTGAATTCTTCCAGTCACCTCAGGGCAGTGAATAAGCACTACAGACATTACAGTCTTTGCACTGGGATTTGTAATTATAATTTACCACACCTGGCTCAGTTCAGAAAGCCTTCAGGAGCATCTAAAGTGAAAATCATGTATATATGTGTAGGGGTGCTATAAGAGTTTGTTCACACTTCGCAGATTTGGTGTGATTTAAAACGAACCCTGGAGTGATCGCTCTGTTAGTGCGGTTGGTATCAGTTTACAATAAGACTACCCTTATAAAGATTTATGAATAGTTAAAATTTAGATTATTGATGGTTTTTATTTAACTCATTAATAAATAGTTATAATGCCTAAATAAAAGGCCATATACTGAGCCCACATTCGTCTATACTCTTAAAGCTCAGATCCTGCTGATTACTTATCTTAGTTTATCTTCTTTATCAGTCGGCCTAGCACCTGTCGGCTTCATCAGATGTTCATAATTATCAGATATTGTGTTATAACTACTTATTAATGATTTTTACGGTGTTGACGTAATTAATAAATTAATAAACATTAATAAACAAATTTAATTTTTTTTATAAAAAGTGATAACGTGTGGTTTGTTAGAGCAAGAGAACGCAGCCATTCAACATTAAATGGACCAAACACAGAATGATTCGTTGTCTCTTCTTCTGCTTCTTTGCAACAGACAGATTTCTCAAGCTGTTTCAACAGGTGCTTTTATTTTATCATTTATTTAAGAACTCTGAAATGGTAATTATAGAATGGATAGTTTTCGTATTAAAACCAGTGGTGGACGAAGTACACAAATCATGTACTTGAGTTAAAGTAGAGATACCCAAGGTAAAATATTACTCAAGTAAAAGTAGAAGTCCTCCATTTGAGTTAAAATACAAAAGTATCTGCCTTCAAATGTACTTAAGTATAGAAAGTAAAAGATTAATTATGACTCTAATGTCCTATTACCATTTTTGTAACAAGACTCATTTGATTAACTAATTTTAGGTGAAAATACTCTAGTGTCACTCTTGGTAAACCAATCTTTTGATAAAATGTCATGAATGAGTTTGTCACTCATGTCTATTAAAATTATCATAAGCACAAAACATAAGCAAAGTTTCAGTTTAAGATTTATTTGCAACTTAGTTACAAGTTTAAATTTTATAAAACAAATGGGTTTTCCTTTACTATATTGCATCTGTAGGTCTCTGTTCATAAACATAAACTAGCAAAAATAAATTTACTATAAAATGAAATAGTGTTTGTATAAATTCAGAAAAAAGAAACAGGCCAGTCACAACTGAACATGTGTACATATTTCTGTATTGTGATCTATTTACACAAAGTTAGGTTAGTTCTATCATTTATGTAGGAATAGGCACTCCCAAAATTTTACACTGCTGCACTGACATTGAACCGTATGCTTGCACTGGGTAGGTGTGCCCAACAGGTCAAAACAAGCTCAAAACAAAGTGTGCGCTGTACCCTGATTGTGCTGCCATGTCTTTGTACAGTATTAGATTATGATTTCTGCTTGTTTTAGACCTGAACATCACCGAGACGGGTTTGGAGGGCGTGCTCTTTGGCATGCTGGACCGGGAAACAGACAGGAAACTGTGTTCAGACATCCATGACACACTGGGCCACATGCTCTCCTCTCTGGCTGTGGAAAAGCTCTCTCATTGGCTCAAACTCTGCAAAGATGTACTGGCTGCCAGCACAGGTATCAACTGTACATCATGCCTTAACACAGTAACTGTTGTTTTGTTTTATCAGTTCATATTATGTAAAATTCCATTACATTGCATTACAATCCATTCGATAGGTTGTAAACCTAGTCTGTGATTCTTGAGCATTAGTGTCTAGGGTCAGGATTAACCTTTTGTCCTCTGACTTTGGTGAAAATGTAAACGCTCTCTTCAGTCTTGAGGTTTAATCCTTAGTTAAGCTAATAGGCTTAACATTGGTTTTATAGTCAGAGTGGCTACATGATCTTCCGCGGAATTACATCAAGTTTTTTAAATGGTGTGGATAATGTAATCATTGAGTTGTTAACAAAGTCATTCAGTGTGGTTTAATGTGAAATGGCTCATTTCAGAGAACCTTACTGACTAAGATCTGCATTGGTGGTCATAGTAACCTGGAGTCACAATGTCTACAACACAAATTTTGTTTACTACCTGAAATGACCAGTGGACCTACATGTCTCTTCTGAGTTTTTATATGTAATGTTGACAAAGGTTACTTTCTTTGCGGACTGTCTTGCCGTATGCAGTCCTACATGTACCGCTCCACCGTGAATGAATTTAAAGAAATATGCATTTTAACCATTTAATTAAGCAGAGATTTTGAAAAAAAATGATTGAATTACTCATTTTTTACACTAATTTGCCCTGTAGAGGTTGGAGGCGCCATGGCATTTGAAGTGGAGAAAGAGGAGGAAGACTCAGAGAAGAAGGACGAAATGGATGATGACATCATGTTCACAGGCCTGGGAGAGGACGATAAATCTAAGCCCTCTGTCGCTCCCCGATGGGTGACACGGGTGTTCGCAGCTGACTGCCTCTGCCGCATCATTCATCTGTGTGAAAACGTGGACAAGGCCCATTTTGATCTGGCAGCTGCCCGTACTGCGAAAGCCAAAAACCCCAAAGGTAAACTTGGCTAAACTCTTGGAGTATCATTACTAAAATTATGATGCTATAATGCATAATTGCTGATAAAATTTGCATGATTGCTGTTAAATGTTGTGTGTAAAATTTGTATTAATTTGATTTTCAGCTCCCTTAATGTTTTTAAATTCCTTCAGTCAGTTGTTTCTCACTTTTCGTTAAGTTGGCTGCATAAAATCTCCTCCAGGAAAAGTTTAAGAGGAAAGTGAAAAAAAATCCATGATTGTAAATTGTTTTAAAATGATTAATTTTCTAGTAATTTCATGATCTGTTTGATTAATTGTGTTTCAGGTGATCTGCTGGTGTTGCATCTCTCAGACTTGATCCGCATGGCCTTCATGGCCGCCACAGACCACAGTAATCAGCTGCGGATGGCCGGCCTACAGGCCCTGGAAGACATCATTAAAAAGTTTGCCTCAGTGCCGGAGCCCGAGTTTCCTGGTCATGTGATCCTGGAGCAGTACCAGGCCAATGTGAGTCCAGCCTCCATGTTTGTGGAGGCTTGAATTTATGTTCACTTGGATTCATTCATGATTATTATAGCTACATTGAAAAAAAAAATGAACAAATCATAAACAGGGACAGGTCAGTTCCTGAAATGTGTGATTTGCTGTTTTTCTCTTACCACAAATGTTGGGGATTAGCCAAGACGTTTCTGGTGTTGGAAGTTGTACAAGAGCTACGGGGCTAATGGCAGGTAGTGTACATATTGTTGACTGGTAGGGCGCAAGCTATCATTTCTTTAGCCCTGTAGCTCCAGTGTAAATCTTAAAAGCAAACTGCAGGCAAGCAAGTCTTAGCTGATCAATTACATTTGTAGTAAGGTGAAAATTGTGTAAAATTAAGTTTTCCCCAAGCTGTTCCTTGAATCAGTTTTATTACTGGGGAACAGCATGATATAATGTTTCAGTAATTTCTTGTGCCATCAATCTTGTATCTTTCTTAGGTGGCAGTTATGTTTCAAAAGCCCAGTTCGGACAGGGTTAAATGTAATAAGGGTCCCGGTCAATCTGTTATTTTACACATCCTGCTCTGTGATTTTTATTTCTGTCCAAACTATGTTGTTTTTCTCCCTATTCTCATTACAGCTTGAATTACCTACTGTTTTTCGCTGAACTCGGTGGTTTGATAATTTTAGTTCTGTTCAGATGCACATCTTCATGATTTCTCATACAAATACCAGCTCATATTTTTTGACTGCTGCTACTCGCTGTATTTAGTCTATAACTGCGAAATGATGGATTAATTGGAAGAGTGTCTGAGAAACAGTGGATTCTTTGGAAAAGTATTTCATTTATTTGGTCTTGGTGGCAGATCTTTGACTCCATTTTCTCTACTCTTGGAGAGCATTAGCAGGAAATCAGAGTTAGTCAGAAACTGATGAAAGCTGATTAAAAGGCAGATTATAATGGCAGCTACAGAAATAAAGTTTCTTTATATTCGCGGATATGCACAAGATCATCAGTGTTTTATTTAAGTGTTTTAGGTCAAATGACAACATTTGGCACTAACATCTGGGCTCATCAAAAATACAATACTATGAACTCGGTTCTCCTGTGCTAATTTTATTGCCGTCCAGATGCGAGAGTTCTATTACTGTAAAAACTTTATTACTGATGCCACCCCTGATTAACAAAATCAATCTTAATAGAGCTAAATAGAGCTTTTTATTATCATTATTATTATAATTATAATTATACTAATAATTATAAGATAATTATTATTATTATATATTTTATTACTTAATTTTTGTTGTGTTGTCCCCCTCAGGTTGGAGCTGCACTGCGACCGGCCTTCTCCCCCGACACTCCCTCTGACATCACGGCCAAAGCATGCCAGGTAAAGCCAAACCAGCAGATCCCACCTCCCACATTCCTCTCAAATCCAGACAGGTTCCGCTGTTTGCCTTTGTGCAGTACTGTTTCTCAACTCTTTCAGTGTATGCCAGATGCTAAAGCTAACTGCACTGCTTTCACTGAACTCCTTCTTATTGAGCTAAACAGTTCTGATAGTAGTGTCTTTGATTTATGTGTGCACTCAGTGAGGCAGTAAATATTACCTGAGTAACTCTTTAAAACAGCAGTGCTCATCATGAGAGCATGTTTTATACTGCCATTAATCTTTCCACATTATGGAATGTATACACATGTATAATGGCCAGAGAATACTTGTGGGCTTCTTTAGCTAAGTAAGGACATGTCTGCATGTGGAATGGAGATGTTTTCTCCTTTGCTGATTTTCTGTGCCTCTGCTTGCTGTTGGAGAAGTATATGTTTTGGTGATGGGGATGTGTCATCTAATGGATAAAGTTCCAGTGAAAGTCCTTGACTTGTCTGATTTTGCTAAACATACCTTGTGTCTGGGCTTGTAACTACCAAGTGTGTGATACCAATACATATAAAAAAATCTAATTTGAGACAGTGTATCAAAATTTAAAAGTGTGTCAATACACAAGACCTTGTTTTTCACTGTGGCTGTGGCTGTTCTGCCCACTTGTTTCTAAACTTTCTAGTTTTTCTAATCATTATCTTTATCCAATTAATTTTTATGGTCCAATTAATTTGATAGTCAGCATTGTCACAGATAGTAAACCCATATTTTAATAACTCAGCCTTCATCACAGACTATGAAGAAATTTCTAGAAAGAAGTTCTAGAAAGAAGCATGTATGTAATGTCAATCATTAAAAACAAACTTGCGTTCACAAATATTCTGATCAGAAAGTCTTGTTCATCAATGTCATGTTATATTTTACAGATTACCATTATTAACCAGTTATTCAGTTTAATCACATCAGTGCCCAAGGATAGCAAAATGAAAGTAAAACAAAAGCATACAAGAAGGATTGATAGAAGAGATAACAGCCACCTGTAAAATCCTTGGTTGATTTCAACAATTATATGTTGTAAAGCTTTAAGAGGTTGACCCTGTCAGTGCTTACAGTTTAAGACAACTGTGGGACTGTCGTCATATGAAAAGCACTGCGCAGTAGGCAGTGTCAGCTGCAGCTCAGGAAGATTTATTGTGATGAAAGTTATCACCATAGTAATCATCATATTGCCCACCTCTACTGTAGTCCACTGACATTTTAGACTTAAGCATTTCTTTTACTCCCCCTTCTGTCCAGGTGTGCAGTGCGTGGATAGGCAGCGGAGTAGTCAGTGACCTCAATGACCTGCGCCGTGTCCACAACCTGCTGGTGTCCTCTCTGGACAAGGTGCAGGCAGGCAAGGGCTCGTCCAGCCAGCTGTACAGCGAGAGCGCCACTACCATGGAGAAACTGGCTGTACTCAAAGCCTGGGCAGAGGTAAAAAGAGGACACCCTACTGTGTTTTGAAATTTTCCATCTGGTCACAGCTACCTTTTAATTAAGTAAGAAAAAATAATTGTTAAAATTAAACATCATGTGCTAACATTTTAGGCATATTGATATTCATCACTCAGCTTCATGTTAATCAAAGTGTTTTCCTTGATTTGATTAAAAGCACTTTGTTAAAAGCACTTACTGAAACGCTCTTGGCCCATGACATGTCAGTTTTGAGCGCTAATGAGTGCTGACATCACAACAAAGAGATAAAATGTGTGAGCTTTGTTTTTTTGTTTTTTCCAAGCCAAACCGAGTTGTCATCTGTTCTTCCGTTTTGCAGATTTTTAAAAGAACTGTATGTTCCCTGATGTGCTCTATAACCTTTTCATGTACCCCCTGCTCTGCCCTTAAGGTCTATGTGGTGGCTATGAAAATAAAGAAAGAAGCAGAGTCTAGGCCGGCACGTCCTGTACGTATCAGTGAGGATGATGATGAAGACATGGGTGATGAAGGAGACATCCTGCCTCCGGACAGCCTGATTACGCTGGTGCAGCCAGAGCTGCCCTCTCTCAGCCGGCTGTGGCTGGCAGCTCTGAGAGACTACGCTCTGCTGACCCTGCCACCTGAGTTTGCCAGCCAGCTGCCCCCAGAAGGTACGACTTGATGTAATTTTCTGCAAGCCGTTTGTAGGATCCTCACAATTCTACATGATTTTTCAGCATAGTAGTATCCCACATTTGTAAAACAAAATATATTGCAGTATGTCAGTGATATATTCCATAAACTCCATAGAATAGATTGTCTTTTAAATATATTGCATTTTTAGATGGGAATGAGACTTGATCCTTTGGTTGCTTCTCTTGTTTTTTTTCTCTACAAGGCCAGTGTTCTATATGTGTTGCAAGACAGTTAGAGTGTTTGACACACTCTTTAGCTATAGTTGAGATGACAAAAGAGTTTCTTTACCTTTTTACCTGCCAGTTGGTGTTAGAGAGTTCTCCATGGCAACAGTGCAGCAGCTGTTTAAAATAGCAAGCCCTTACTTGAGCCTACAGGTTAATATGGAAAGTGACAGTGGTGGTTAAATATACATTTGCAGTGGTGGGTTTATTTTAATGCACATACTATGCACACACAAATTCACAAAATCATGCAGAGATATACAGAATGTTTCTCTAGTTCGTGGAGATTTTCATTGTTTTAATGTATTTCACTCTGAGTGGATCATTTAAAGTGATGGTTTGGAGAAAAATCTAACTTGGACAGATTTCCCTTTATCCCAGCCAAGACATGTTGGTTGTCAGACGTATGCTCATTTAGTCTTGAACTGAAGCTACAAGGCTAATGTAGCTCAGTGGTGTAACTACAGGGGGGCCTAGGGGGAGCCTAGGCTCTCTCACTTGGAAGCCAGATCCCCCTGGATTTCTGACTGCTAATAAGAAAAAGTCATTTAGTGACAGTTAAAATGTTACAAAATGCAAACCATCTTGCACTCTTAACACAGCATAGATGCAGAGTTCTTGCATCCTTGTGCCTTTTTTGTTGGCCATGAACAAATAAAAGTGACCGCAATGCTTGCATTATCACAGCGCTATCACCATGGCAACTTTTGCATGGCTGCATGCCATTGTTGTTTACATGCAGTTTTAAATTAGACGATAAAACATACAGCAACATGTTTTTTTTCCCACAGCATTGCCAGTTTGGGCTATTTCTGCAGATTTTGGGAACTTAGCTGAGCTGTGCCTGTTCATAATGTAAGCTGATACTAACCTAGCTTGAGAGTGGTCATGTAGTAAAGTGGACCATGGTAAAGAAAAAAGTTTAATACCACAGGAAAAAAGCAATGGGAAAACCACAGTCTTTGATCATTTGGCCTAGACATCTGCTCATAGGGCTGTAAAAGGTAACTTTAGGCTTGTGGTTAACTTTTTTAATTTTACAAGACTTGTAAAACAAGCTTGTGCCTCATAGTATCATTCCTGAGGGACTGTGTCATAAAGAGCATTTAACAGGACTGAACTCATAAAGTCTAAATCAAACCTATATCTGTGTACAGGTGGAGCCTTCTACACTCCAGAGACAATAGACACGGCACGTCTGCACTACCGCAACTCTTGGGCTCCCATCCTGCATGCTGTGGCTCTGTGGCTCAGCAACACAGACTTTGGGGCTCCTGAGGGCCCCGAGGAACCCCAAACTGCCACCAGCACTACTGGGCCAGCAGGGGCTGTGTATCCTCAGGGGCCTCCCGCTCCAAGCAAGAGCCATGATGAGCTGGTAAAAGATAGAATGCACCTGCTGCTAGGTACGTCCATTATTGAATGCTCTTTAACCCATTATTTACTTTCACGTACTTTTCAAGAAGTATGCCCTTTGTGATTTGAATATATGGAGATCCAAACTTGACTTGGTATTTATTTGCTTAATTTGGTGTTTGAATAAAGTATGTGACATTTATAGAAAATTAATGAAACAAATTGTATATTATGTTATTTTGCATCTGTAATTAGGCTAAATTATGACATCAGAGAGAAGCTGTGTACTGTCATATGCAAATGTTTAAACACCCCTGGTCAAATTATGTCCTCTACAGAGAACAAACATGAAAAAGGAAGTATAGTATTTGAATTATGAAACTTGGTGCACTGTTTCTATGTACTGTTTGTGCTATGTACCGTATTACTGTATTTAACATAATGGAAAAAATCAAATATAAATTATGCCATAAATTTGCCACATTTTATGTTTTTATTTTTTCCAGTATGTTAAATTCAACAAATAATAGTAGTTGTGCATTAAAATGTGTAAAAGTGTGTTGTCAGAAAATCAACAAAACAAGTAATTTAACTGGGGCTCCCACACTTTTGCAAATGACTGTATGGAATTAATTAAAACAAAAAAGACAAGTGGATATTCAAATAACAGAAAAAGGTTAAAGGGTCCATCCCCACCTTTCTTCAAATAAGGTCAAGGCTTAATGAGGGTCAAGTGACGATTATTATTCTGACCCCAGTGGAACTGTACAGCTGAGGAGGTAGACCTGATTCTGTATTGGTCTTGTTTTTTTCATATAAGCATATATATGTATTGTGAAAGTCTGCTTTCCTCCTGCGTTTCAGGCATCAGTATTGAGTTCCTCTGCTTTCCTCGGCCTGAGGAGCCTATTGAGCGAGTGATGTCCTGCCTGCAGGCCCTCTGCACTCTGCTGGAATCCCCACGGGCTCGAAAACACATCGCAGAGGACCAGGTGATCAGGACGACTATAAAAGCCTTTGATAAAAGTGATTTTCCCTTTAACCAAAATGATGGTCAGTCAGCCAAGACATGTTTGTGCCTTTGTCCTTTTTTTTTTAATAAATGACACATATATGTCACATATGTCATAGCATGTAAACCACCACAACATGGTACAGATAGACACCTTCGTTGGCACTGCATAGTGCAGGTACTAGGCAACAAACATGGGTTGATTAAATACATTAGAATAGTGAAAAATAATAAAATGCAGGATATGTGTGCATAGATATACAGTGGTGTGAAAAAGTATTTGCCCCCTTCCTGATTTCTTGTTCTTTTGCATGTTTGTCACACTTAAATGTTTCAGATCACCAAACAATTTTAAATATTAGACAAAGATAACACAAGTAAATACAAAATGCAGTTTAAAAATGAAGGTCTTTATTAGTAAGGGAAAAAGAAATCCAAACCTACAGGGCCCTGTGTGAAAAAGTGATCCCCTCCCCCCCTCCGTTAAAACATAAATTAACTGTGGTTTATCACATCTTTGGAAAGCTGAGTTCAATTTCCCTAGCCACACCCAGGCCTGATTACTGCCACACCTGTTCTCAATCAAGAAATCACTTAAATAGGACCTGCCTGACAAAGTGAAGTAGACCAGAAGATCCTCAAAAGCTAGACATCATGCTGCACAAAGTAATTGAAATCTATCAATCTGGAAAAGGTTATAAAGCCATTTCTAAAGCTTTGGGACTCCAGCGAACCACAGTGAGAGTCATTATCCGCAAATGGTGAAAAGATGGAACAGTGGTGAACCTTCCCAGGAGTGGCTGGCCGACCAAAATTACCCCAAGAGCGCAGCGACGACTCATCCAAGAGGTCACAAAAGATCCCACAACAACATCCAAAGGACTGCAGGCCTCACTTGCCTCAGTTAAGGTCAGTGTTCATGACTCCACCATAAGAAAGAGACTGGGCAAAAATGGCCTGCATGGCAGAGTTCCAAGACGAAAACCACTGCTGAGCAAAAAGAACATAAAGGCTCGTCTCAGTTTTGCCAGAAAACATCTTGATGATCCCCAAGACTTTTGGGAGAATGCTCTGTGGACTGACGAGACAAAATTTGAACTTTCTGGAAAGTGTATGTCCCATTACATCTGGCGTAGAAGTAAAACAGCATTTCAGAAAAGGAACATCATACCAACAGTAAAATATGGTGGTAGTGTGATGGTCTGGGGCTGTTTTGCTGCTTCAGGACCTGGAAGACTTGCTGTGGTAAATGGAACCATGAATTCTGCTGTCTACCAAAAAATCCTGAAGGAGAATGTCCGGCCATCTGTTCGTGACCTCAAGATGAAGCGCACTTGGGTTCTGCAGCAGGACAATGATCCTAAACACACCATCAAGTCCACCTCTGAATGGCTTAAGAAAAACAAAATTAAGACTTTGGAGTGGCCTAGTCAAAGTCCTGACCTGAATCTGATTGAGATGCTGTGGCATGACCTTACAAAGGCGGTTTATGCTCGGAAACCCTCCAATGTGGCTGAATTACAACAATTCTGCAAAGATGAGTGGGCCAAAATTCCTCCACAGCACTGTAAAAGACTCATTGCCAGTTATCGCAAACGCTTGATTGCAGTTGTTGCTGCTGAGGGTGGCCCAACCAGTTATTAGGTTTAGGGGCAATCACTTTTTCCACACAGGGCCCTGTAGGTTTGGATTTCTTTTTTCTCAGGGCCCTGTAGGTTTGGAGATCTTCATATATAAAATGCATTTTGTGTTTACTTGTGTTATCTTTGTCTAATATTTAAATTTGTTTGGTGAGCTGAAACATTTAAGTGTGACAAACATGCAAAAGAATAAAAAATCGGGAAGGGGCAAACACTTTTTCACACCACTGTATATGTAAAAATATAACATGTATTGTGCAAGACTGTGCATAGTCATCTAAGCACTTTGTTTAAAAATGCTTATCTTAGCAGTGAGTGTGTTTTTACTCGTTACTTATTAAATCATCGTGTATCATTAGATGTTTAGCATGTTTGTCCTTTTTTAGTTTTGCACTGAAGCAATGAGTCTGATGTAGCTAACAAGTAATGGGTCTTAGCATTCTGCAAACTGCATGTCTAAATCATTGCACAGTTGCCTCAGACTGGCTCACTCAGATACACTAGCTTATGTGATTTCTGACACTGTATGACAAAGCCTACTGTTATCTGTAAAAACTGATTGAAGTACAGACAGTATTCACATTTCAATGTGGCTGCTTTTACTGTTTTAGTTATGCAACATATTATTGTGCCCTTATATAGATAACATTATGCCCAGCAATTAAAAAAAATCTGAAATTACCTTATAGCTCGAGGTGCTTTGAGAGGCAAGTGTGATGATTTATACATGTAATACACACATTTTAAATTGGTATTATTTTCTATGCAACATAAGCAACATTAGCCTTGTAGCTCCAATGTAAACTAAAGAATCAAACTTGATTCAAGCATAGCAAACATAGACATGGCACAGTTCCTAATGTGTTTGTGTAAGTTATAACTGTGTGTGTATAACGTATTAATGTATTTATTTGTGTGTGTGTGTATTGCAGTTGCTTGCCGTGGAGCTGCTGAACGTGCTGCACAGACTGTTGTTAACGCGGGACCCTCCCAGTGTCCAGCTGCAGGTGACTGCTGTGGTGCAGGAAACCATCCGATCAGCCCATGACCATCTGGACCAGCTTAGAAGCTCCAAGAGTAAGCAGATATTACACTTTCACTCTGCAGTTCCTACTGCATGTCCTGACAGTTCAGTGTTTTTCTTTCTCTAAAACGCCTGAACAGCAGGAAAAGAAACCGAAGACGAAAAGTAATATTTACTACATGAACGTAAGAAAAAAATATTGGCTGACAAATTTTTAGCACACAGGCAAGAAAATCATGAGTGATAAGAGTGGTTCAAATGTAATCCTATTAATAATCACCCTATTTTATAATGTACATGTAATCTGATTGCTGCCTTTTTCTGTAACTAGAACAGAATACAGTTACATTTATGTTGTATCCTGATTATGTGATTTATGTGTTCTGTTACTACTCAACTCTGCTGATTCATTAATTCAGGGTTGCCACATATCTTCGAAAAGTCTTATAAAGTCTTAAAAATATATTTTAATATATTTATATAACACCACTGATTTTTTGTTTTACTATTATATGTATAAAATGTTAAGATTCACTCTAAAGATGGGTTGGAAAGAGCCACCTTGTGTATTCAATTTATTCCGAATAGTCCACCAAATAAAATTGACTTGCTATTAGCGATCCTGTGGTCCTGATAAAGGACAGCAGAACTGAATGACCGTGCAAGGATTGTGCAGTCTCAAAGAGTGTATGCCTGTCTAATTTTAAACCATTTGGGTTAAATAATGATTAATAGATGATTTTAGATATTTGAGTGTGTTGTTGTGCAGTTGACATGGTTATTGTCTTCTTCGGTTGCAATCTTAAAATGTATTTAAAAATAATTTGGTTTTACAAGTTGTGCAGCAGTCTGTACTTGTGGGGTAAGGGAGAAATTGTGTAAATGTCATTTTTCACTCATCACTTTTAGGTTTGGTTTTAAACATCAAATTCCTGATTCTTCACCATTAATTTGTACTTTCATGAGACATTGTTATGCCAGAGCCAGAAAATCTATAGATCACAGTGTGCTTTTAGCTTTTGCATCTTATTTGATTACATAACCAGTTATACGCATTATCCACTCAGTTACACAGACTGCCTTGATTATTAATCCCAACCTCAGAAGTTCTGGGCTCAGGTGTAAACTGCTCTTCGTTTTTCAGGTGTGGAAGATGGTGGGGAGAAGGAGTCGGCGTGTGTAGTGGAAGAAGGAGGGGACACAGGGGAGCTGCAGCCAGGCAAGTCTCTGGTATTTGCCGCCATGGAGCTGCTGGTGTTTCTGCTGGTGCGCCACCTCCCTCAGGTCAACACCAAGGCCAGTGACTCGCCCAGCCACCTGCCCACCAAACCCCAGCAGCTGCCTGAGCACAGTAACCGCTTGGTGGCCGCCACCGTCAGCATCCTGGCCGAACTGCCTGCGCTGTGTTCTCCAGCAGGTACACACATACTTGCACACAATCGCACTCACATTTCAGCGCATACTGATTCACACATTCCCACTCAGGCCTGTCACATCCTGGATTCACACACCCACAGAACACACACGCTCACTCACACTCTGTTAATCTGAGCAGCATCCTAACCCTTAGAAACCTAGTTATTACAGTTATGCATGCATCTGATTTACATTGCATAATGATTTTATATTTGACAGTAATTCATTTTTCAGAAGATATTTCTGAAGAGATTAGAAATAAGATGAAGGGGAAAGTCAAAGGAATAAGTGAAAATCAGGAGTTCAAAAAATTATTAAAAGATAATGAAAGAAAATGGGACACTTAACAACCATGCAGGACTGGTAGACCACCAAAACTGACTCCATCATATAAACAGCACTCTCCAGAGTCCAAACATTGATCTCACTGAATGTGAATCTAAATTTTAGAGGTTTGGGAAAATATCCCTGCAGATTGTTTGGAAAAACTGAAAGCAAGTCTCTTGAAAATAAACAGAAATGTGAACACACATGTGGTCTGGATTGAAAGTTAAGATTTCATGCTTCCAACAGAATTTCTTTGCTTTTTCAGTGAGCTGTGATTAAAAAGTATTTACAACATACAACAATATAACTTTGACTTTTAAAGGGTAATTTAACTAGAATTAACAACTGTAGGTTGGAAAGACAGTCTGCGTATTTCTGCATCTAGTTTGCCATGCTATTTCATATTTCTTCTCTAAGTTTGATCTCTCTCTTTATTATGGGTCTAATAAGAATGCTAATTGTATCAATTGCCTGGCACTGACACTGTCTTCTTTAATGGTTTTAATGTATTCAGGGAGCATGACCATCCTGCCCACGGTGCTGTTCCTAATTTGTGGGGTGCTGAAGGAGACTGCAGTGAAGACGCCTGAGGGTTCAGTGCCTCTGCCTGTGTCGGCCGCCCTGCAGGGCATTAAGACCATCATCACGTCCCCGCTGGGTCGTGTGGAGAAAACACAGCAACAGTGGACCAGCTTGGTCAGGAGCAGTCTGGCCTCTGTCCTGGAGTACTCCCAGCCTGGTGAGATAGCACATACATATATGCACAAAAAGCAGTCTATTGATGTATAGTTTGTCTGAGATGACGCACACTTATAAATATCCAATTTTCTTGTGGTAGTATTACATTTTTTTAGCATTGATGCAATAAATGATCAGCGACACTCATTTTTTAACACATTTCCTAGCTTGACCCTTTGACCCTTTGCTGTATGTTCCTTAAACTGGCTCTGTGATTAAAGCACTCACACTCAAATACAGCTTTTAAATGGCAATATCCATTTACAGCTGTATTGATACAACAAAGTTGTTTACAGCTACTGTAATGGCATAAATTTTCTTGGACTGTATATACTGAATATATGAAATACAGTTTGAACACATCTCGCAGATTCGACATAGTTAGGTAGCAATGTAGGACCAATAAAGTACATAGCATAACATAACAGGTAACAATTACAGACTGTAGTCCATCTGTTTTTCTGTATACTTTGTCAGCCCCCCTTTTACCCTGTTCTTCAGTGATCAGGACCCCCATGGACCCTCACAGAGCAGGTGCTATTTGGGTGGTGGATCATTCTCAGCACTGCAGTAACACTGGTGTGTTAGTGTGTGTTGCGCTGGTCTGAGTGGATCAGACACAGCAGTGCAGCTGGAGTTTTTAAACACTGTGTCCACTCACTGTCCACTCTATTAGACACTCCTACCTTGTCAGTCCACCTTGTAGATGTAAAGTCAGAGACGATAGCTCATCTGCTGACTAAGCTAGTTTGTTTTCAGGCAACAATATTGCATTTAAACAGTGACAGTGCCTGCATATTTTTGTCCCTGTGTTACAACTTTATGAAAATAATTTGGTAAAAATGAAACATGACTCTGAGAATTGATCACATTTTCTTTCTATTACACCATGTCTCTGTTGCCCCTCCAGACGAGTCCAGACCCAATATGGACGAGGTGAGCATGCTCACAGCCATTACCCTCTTTTTGGTGTCCGCCAGCACTGAGCTGGTAGGGGTCACCGCCTTACAGAAAGGCTGCATGGAGCGCTTCCGTAACGCCCTCAATTCCAGCGACCCATGGGTAGGTGACACCACACACATTCTCAAAACACATACACGGCCATGCTGACTTCTGAACTAGCTGAATGTCGAAGATTTTCATTGACAACATAGGATATAACATGCAGTATCTAGCAGAGTAGGCATAGCTTAAAGTGATAATTTGGTTAAAAAATGTTCATGATTTCTTCTTTGCCCTAAATGTAGTTGATCAGACAAGAGGTGTTCAGTTTTACACTGGAGCTGCAAGACTAATATACATTACAAGTAATGGAAGCTTACATTGTTAGCATGCCTAAACCATCACATTTTACTTAAACTCTGTTGAGCTGTTATGTAATCTTTCTAGCCCTGTATGACATACTGTTATCTGTAAAATAGACAAAAGTACAGACTTAAAGAGGACAACTACTGTTTTTAGCTATTTGATGTTCAGTTTTATATCATTTTTATATTTTATGTCATCATACGTTTTCTACAGTCTCTTACCTTAAATAATGTGCTGTTACATTTGAAGAGTTTATTCCAAAACATTGTATATCTATTTTAAGAAATTCTGGTTATTAAGAGTTTTTAAATTAATTCACACTGGACAAGTATTTCATGTCTAACTATTTTTTTTCTAATTTATTTTAGAACTCATCACTGTAGTCATCTTACTTTTAGCACTTAATTATAGCAAAATCACCAAAAATCACCCAATTTAATTATTTTAGCTTACATTAAACTCTTACATTAGATCTTAAAGTCTGAAATGGTTATTAGCTGACAAACCTGTAAAGCACAACAGGCTTGTATTCTAATGTGCAGTCATACTTTATTAATAGCTGCTTTTATTTTGACACGCAGCTGTGCTTTATAGAGAAACACACAGTCCAGTTCACAAAGAAACAAATTTCTGATCTCCTTGAACAGTTTTTCTTGTAATGCGATCGTTTATAATTATTAGCTGTATTGTAGAGCATTCCGTTCCATTTATTAAAAAAGTGAGAAGTTGATATTGTGTTTTGGACTGACATACCTCCATTTTAGAGCGACTGTGTCTAAGAACTCAGTACTAAAAGTAGACCGTTATGCCTGGCCGATACCCAATCCAATGTATCAGATCGGTGCATCACTCGCTATAGGCTGCTGTTATTTGTTAGGTACATTAGCCTCGTAGCTCCAGTGCAAAAGCTTCAATGTCTTGGTTGGACAAATACATTTGGAGAAGGAGCACAGATTTTTCATCATAGTATGGGCTTTAAACTCCACTTTAAAGCCTATTCAATTTATAGGGCCTAAGGGAGGAAGCTGGGATTGCTTGACTCAGTGTTTGTCAGTGCCTCTGAGGAGTAAACACAGCAACTAAAGGCAGAGAGTGTAGGCGGCCTTCTAGGCTTTTGAGAACATTTGGACTGCTTGAAGATTTAGTCATAGGAATTAAAGCCCTGAGTTCCAACCTGTGATATAACTAGTGCTCTTCTGTGCTCATGTGTTCGTTCATGAGTTCATATCTCTCTCTCTCTGCAGGTTCAAGCTCGGTGTTATCAGCTGCTGCTCTCGGTGTTCCAGCACTCTAGCCGCGCTCTCTCCACTCCCTACATCCACGCTCTGGCACCTCTGCTGGTGGAGAAGCTGAAGGGGGTGGAGCGTGCGCGGCCCGGGACCCCCGCAGAGCTCCAGGCTGTGCAGGAAGGGGTCAAAGTGCTGGAGGGCCTGGTGGCCCTGGGGGAGGAGCAGAATCGTGAGTAGCTTTGAACATGACTGGCCATCATTCTCCCAACCTGCTTTCTCATATTTGTTTTCTACAAAAATGCACAAAGTTGCTGCTACTGCCTTTAATTACGCAGCATATTTTTTTTGTTACATAGATTGATGTAAATCTTTGATCTTGCCATGGAAGAGAGTCAGGAGACCAGGGTGCACAGGAATGATGATTTTATTTGAAGAGTGCTCTGTCCATCTCTGCCACCAACACCCAGTCTCATAAAGAGTTTTTGGAAGTCTGCTTTACACTCTAAATATCCCCACCCCAAATAGAGAGAGAGGGGATGTTCTCAGAGATTTTAATCCTGTTGTAAATACCTTGCTATTGTAAAAAGAACAGAGTTGATCTCGTAAACTGAATGTTCTAAATAAACATTTATAGATAAAGTATTGATAGATAGATAAAGTCACCAAGCACTTGATCATGATCATTCAGTATAAGAAAATATAAATTATAACAGTATGTTGATATTTCAGTTATGCAAAAAGTTAAGTAAGGTGACATAAGGTAGTTAGGAAGTTAAAACTAACTGTATTAGCGTTTATGCTAGCATACACAGAACAAATATGCTCATATTTTAGACTTGGCAGAGAAACATATAAGGTTTTCTTGAATCTAGATGAGTCTATCTAATTGTATACATTTGCGTCAATAGTTATAACTAGCGCAATGCTAATAGCTTACATTATTTGTTAGCTGCGTTAGCTTTGAAGTTCCAGTGCAGAACTAAGCAAGCAAATTTCAGGAACCAAAATTTCATGGCTGATCTTCTACATTTGGGATAAGTGGGAAATTGTGTAAATGTGATTCTTCACTAGACAATCACTTTAAACGTTGTTTGGTAGTTGTTGATTGTTTAACGTATCCAAACTGTTCATCAAGACTATGGAATTCCTAACAGTGAAGAAGTGAGCCCTGTCGTTAGGATTTAGGCTTGAATCTCAGCTGTGCAGTGTTCTGACATAGTAAAATACAGTTAGACCTAACATGTAACTGAGAACACCTAGCAAAAAAGCTTGTTTAGAGACACTGATTAATTCTGGGTGTTGGTAAAACATGACATGAAGTGATGTCCTGTAGCATAGGGTCAAAACTTCTCATTATCTACAATGCTAGCTTTTGTGCAGTGTTCCCTGTTCTTTATCTAAATTCAGCTTTATGAAAATATGAAAATTCTACTTTATTTATTTTATGTAATGTTCCTCTTGCTTTCTCTTCACATTAGGTGTTCAGCTCCTGGCTCTCCTGGTCCCCACGCTGATCTCCTACCTGCTGGATGAAAATGCCTTCTCCACTGCCCCTCCTCCTTCAAAGGGCCTGCATGATTTTGCCCTTCAGAATCTGATGCGTATTGGCCCCCTGTACCCCGCCGCCTTCAAGACAGTGATAGGAGCAGCACCAGAGCTGAAGACTCGCCTTGAGACGGCCATCCGAGCCAATCAGGCAAGCAACAAAGCCAAGGCCACAGCCAGGCAGGCCCAACCCACTGTGCAAGCCACACCCACCATCAAACTCAAAACCAGCTTTTTCTAAGATCAGTTCTCAACTGACCTGTCCATGCTCCACTCACAGATGTATTCTTTTGAAGGAAATGTTTCTAGGTTTTACAAATTGTGAAGCATATGGGTAAAAATACCATTCAACGTAATCAAAAACAATTCAAAATATTTGTTTTTCAGTGTTCTTTGTCAAAATATGTACAATATGTTCAAATGAGTATGGAGTGGGGTGGCATGTTTTTATGTAACATCAAACCTGTAATGGAAAAGTTGCTGGTTGTTGTACCCTCTCTTGATACCTGACATGAACAATAATTATAAATTGCTTTTCTAATTTTCCTCATTGAAACCAGGAAATAGTTTCACATGGTCGATATTTTCAGTGTTTGTTTGCTGCTGCTCAAACTGTTTGAACTTGCAGAGTAAAAGCAACAAACATAATTTTTAATGCATATTTTCATTTTTTAGCATTCAGATTGGATTTTGAGTTTTTCTTTTTTTCAGTCTTTTGCTCAAAAACAGAAAACTGGGTTTGCTGCAACTACTTATTAGGTTAAATGTAATTTTTCTTTCCAGTGGTCAGTTGAAACAAAGGTATGTATTTGTGGGCGGAGCATGGAAAGTTCAGCTGATATATTTTTATTAATAACCTCAGTTACTGCTATTTATCAAATGAAGTTGTTTCGTTAGGTGTTGGATTCTTAGAGATGCTGTTCTGGTAAAGGTTTGCTTCTGTAAATATGGATTCCAGGGTTTACATTTCATCGTGTCAATCATGTGTGATGGTGAATGTCAGAGTGAAATTGTCATTTTAAGATGCTTTAGGTGCTGGTAAAGGGATGTGGTTACTGCTGTCATAATTATATTTTTTCCACAGTTTTTGTTTGATGCTTGTAAAATGCACCTTAATCAGAAAAGATTGTCATGGAAGCACTTTTTGTAAAGTCACATTGCATCGATGTCATTTCCAGCAATTCTCATAACATTCTTTATTTTCTCTCTGCTTTCTCTTAATGTGTTTGTCGTTGCCTGATCCTGTAAAGACCAAAAACATGCAAAACTGTGTACAGTATATGTCTTATATCACAGCCTTTTCCCGTCTGTTGCTTCATGTATTTTTTCTCACAGTTGCACTCCTTTTAGTTAAACGTTATTTTGTATATTATATAGCACCAAACTTTGTTTTCTGAGACTTAACATCAGTCTTGGGTATTATATAACTGTTACTTTTGGACCTAAAAATTAAAATTAATAAAATAATGCATTGTGTTTGTCATCACCCACACTGTACAAAGAAATACAGTTAAGAAAACACAAAAGCTATGATATACTGTGAAATGTTTTTGTTTTCTTTCCACCTTGTATAAATTCACATGTGGATATACACAGCCTGCATATGCAACTTGAACTTAGCTCTGCTCTTTTCAACATTTGTCATTGTCTCTGATAATATAAGCATCTTTTACCTCTTAGTAACTTGTCTTTACTTTTTGCCTTCGTTCTCGCTCATAGTTTAACCGATTTATGTAAATAACAGACAATTCCATCTGATTATTTATTCATACCTGTTTAAAAAACTTTACATTGCATTAAGTGGTCGCAGTGAAACTGCACTGATGTCCACCTTGTTACAACACGAATGGTTGGTTTGCACTAAGTCTAGTAAATGCCCTTTTGTTGTATTATTGTTTTATGTTAAATACGGTACTGCGCAGCAACAACGAAGACACAGATCAAAATGCAAAGTCTTTTCTGGACCCATATACACAAACTGGATGTCAAATCATATTGTTTGACTTGATCATTAAAATAAAGTTTTACCCATGAATAATGTGTTCTTGTATTTGTGTGCATATAGATTGGTTGTGTATTTAAAAAGAGCTGCGTTGTACATTCTGAAGCCATTTAGGTAAGAGTCTACAGTGCTGTGCAATCCTTTTTCGCTGATCAGGCTAGACTAGTGGTATACTCCCAACCCCCGAAGTCTGTACTGATAAAGCTTTTCAGAGTAGAAGTGCTGATCTAGGTTCAGATTTCTCTCTCATTTGTGATGATCTTACGGATAGGAGCAGATCTTAGATCAACACCTCTGATCTCATAAGCTTTATGAATATGGGCCAATGTAATTTGTTTGTTTACTCGCTATTGTTATGTGTCAAACAACTTGAAGCTCTCATTTATGTTTACGTTAGACAACCTAAATTAGATTTTAGACATAAATAATAAATAGTTTATGTTGCAGGCTGCGAACATGATAATCAGTTACCACAGATGAAGGGCGTTATATGAGGGAGATTTTTGTTTTTTTCTGTGAGTCTTGTGTCAGTATCTGTATGAGGAGCCCAGTAAAGATTTTAGGGGGCCGGTCATTGTGGAGCCCTAGTGTGATTGCCCCAGATGTACTGAATTTAGGTTAACATTTGAGGAGCACCTTGTTGCTTTAGTAAAGACGTATAAGCATTTTTGTTTATTATAAACAAAAGTATAATTTTGCCTATTTAAGTACCATTTAGTTCACCATGTTTTTTATGCATTTTGTTTTGTTACTGATTTTGATTTTGAGCTTTTCAGCAAAACTAAACAAAAAACGAACAAGAAGTGCAGTGTCAGTGTTATATGTATGCACTAATAAGACAAAGTAAATTTATAACAGACTGTTGCCATGTAATATTTATAATTATTATTAGTATTATTATTATTATTGTTGTAAATCTGATATTTGCCTCGTAATGACGTCAGATCTTATTGAACTACAAATCCCATCGTGCCTTTCCGCTAGTAGCGGTGGGCGTGGCTACGGCGGCTTCACGGCCTGAGTGACAGCTGGCTGTCAGAAAATGAGTTTGCTCAGCGCCGTCTGCGGTGTGAGGTGTCGGCGGAGCGCTGCTCGAGAAGCCTCGGCTAGCCTGTAGCGAGCAAACCCTCCGGCTAAAAGAGCGATTCAGGGGCTGGAGAGAGCTCTTTTTTCGGCGACCGAGCCCGGCCATGGACGAACATGCAGGGCCCGGCGTGTTTTTCAACAACAACAACAACTCGCTGCTGCAGGCGGGAGTGAAAGGAGCGGCGGCCGAGAACGACGGCGGGGAGGCGGGCAGAGCCCAGTACAGCATCCCGGGGATCCTGCACTTCCTCCAGCACGAATGGGCCCGTTTCGAGGTGGAGAGGGCGCAGTGGGAGGTCGAAAGGGCCGAATTACAGGTCAGTAAAAGCCGGTCAGTGCGGATAAACCGCGGGTTCGTTTTTTAAAAAGGTTTTAAAGGTGTCCAAGTGCGGAGCGGGCTAGCTGGCACTGGTTAGCATAATGCTAACGTCACTTGATAGCGAAGCTACAACTACAGTGGGCTGTGTATCAGTCATCAGAGGAGTGACTACAGTTAGAGAACCGAGAGCCGAGTCCAGGGACGGCGTTCTTGGGTTAATGAAACGGAGGCTGGATGAAAATATCTGGTGTAGTGAGCGCGCAAAGTTTGTAGCGAAACAGGACGTTTCGGACGGAAGTCCATCAGCTGTGCGCGAAGCCGAAGTGCTTCGAAAGCTGCAGCAGATCGGTGAACCAGTACATATTTTAATTAGCGTGTTCGATATTCAAATGAACCAGTATTCGAAATAGCTGTTCGATATTCGGATTGGCCAGACCGGTAGATATGCAAATTAATCAGAACCTTTTAGAATGAACCAGTGTTCGACATGGCCGGCAGATGTGTAAATTAAGCAGGAGGTTTCGAATTGACCAGTAGATTATCTCAGCTGATCAGACGGTATTAACATTGGTCAGTTGATGTTCGATTAAACTGGCGCCCGTGTAAATTAATCGGAGTGTAGTCGAAGTGACCAGGTGATGCGTAAATCAACCAGGAGGTATTCGAATAGGCCACCATTTATGTACGTGAATCACAAGTTGGTGAAACTAACAAGTGAATATTCAAATGAGACAGTAGATATGTAAAGTAGTGGAACTGCTCATTAGACAGTATCAGTCCCGGAATTCAGAGGTTTGCTGAATACATTAAAAAAGAATTGTACAGTAGTTTGTAAACATTGCGACATGCTATAGTAACTATAATAATTCATATGAAGTTGCTGCTGTTGCTTTTTTTATCTTTTCTTTGGTTCTTTTCATTTGTACCAGATCCTCAGCGTCACAAAAAATGATGGTTAGTTTTCAGTGTGAGCTGTTTGTCATGGGCTGATTTGTCATGGGCCTTTAAAATGTTTTTTTTTCTACTGTTATGCGACATACCCTGGTCAGACAAACTGAAAGCCTTCATGCAGCTTTCTTAATGACTGTTCAAACTGCACTCGACCGAATCTGGCAGTTTAAGCGTATTCAGCAGACTTTGCTCCGTGCTGCTTTTTCATTTCCCTTCTGTTCCTTATTTGACCATTATATGTGCCAGTAAGCCAGAGAATGAGACTGTTCTGTACCCTGTGTAGCTTTAGTGCTTATACAGCTGAACTCGGTTTGTGTGCGTATGTAATCATATTTTGTCAAAAGAACACAGCAAAATTATAAATCGCACTCGACAGATAACTGGTAAATCATTTAAAGTAGATTTTAAATTTAACTAATCCACAGGCTCCTGTCTAAGCATTGGCCGTATTGTCAGGAGGCTGTGCGTGGTGATGCCACAGCCATCCATGGCTGGGAGTCCAAGAGAGCGTAATTGTCCTCCCTGTCACTTGGTGGACAGGAAGGTCCCCCCTCTCAGCCCAGTCACTCAGCAGGATGCTCAGACATCTGTTAGCTGACATAGCAGTGTGCTCCCCCAAGCGTGTTGAACTGTCCAGTGACATTTGCCGATGCTTAGATTTAGCTGACATTTCAAACCATTCATTGATGCATCTACTGTATGCCGGAAGAGCATCATTAATGTTTAGACAAAGCTGGCTGTGCCACAGCAGGGCAGCTAAAATGTCTCCCACAGCACTGCACACGCAAGCAAAACCTGCAGCTACTTGGGTAGGTAGCTCTGTACATAACGCTTCGGTAGCTTAAAAAACACTACCAGCATCAAAACTACAAAACTGAAGTTGGCTTCTAACTCGCCAGCTTCTTGTTCGAATGTTCCTATTCCACCTTAAAAGGGGCAACAGCACCAGTGTTGAGCATGAAGTACTGGCAGGGAGAGCCGATAGAAATTGGTTTAGGTTCAATTTTACACTCTGCTTATATAAATTGAATGAAATAATGCATTCAGCGTTAGTATCAGTTTACATCTTCTCCACAGTGGCTGTTTTCAAGCTAAAAGACAGAAGCTGAAAAAGAGTAAAATAGTAACAGTAATATACCAGTAAAGTGATAACTATTAGTAGTAAAATATTGATGCGTTTTGTCTGTTTATCTAAAAGACTGTTTGTCTTTTTTGTGTAAATTTCAAGCCACATGTGATCTACTGTGGTTTTCCGTTGACTCACTCTGGCTTTAATTCAGTGTATTAATGGGAAAATGTGAAGTAGCACACTGTGACGCGCAGATGTGCAGACATCAATTAAAAGCAATGGTTTCGATTTTTTGTGCGACGTGGCATGTCCGGTGTGCAGTGGCTTTTACAGAAGGCAATTTTGTGTGCCCAAGATGTAACGATACATGTATAATAGCGGAAATCAGCATTGGCCTGGGATTTCCATATCAGTGCATCCCTAGTTGTGTTGGTGGCACTTTGAAAAGATGTTATGTGTCTTGGAGAACGCTTGTGCTAGCCTTCACCCTCCCAGCTTAGTAACATTGAGTGATGAGGGAGAGCTAGATAGTGGATGTAAATTGGACATGCCTGAATTGGAAGGAAAGTTGTGTAAGGAATAAAAAAAGACCCTAACTCAGTAATTTACCCGGACAGCTGAGGTTCTCCATGTATTTTTTTATTCACATGCTCTGTTCTTGAGAAACTTTCTGAATTGTTTACTGTGGTGGTGATAGGAACCAGACATCTGAAGAGTTTAATGCCTGTAAAAATGACATCAGAGAAAGTTATTTCGTGAATTGGTCATGAAAATGTTGCTGGAGACATTGTTTTATGATAAGTGCATGCAGGGTGTTGTGAGGCAAAATAGTCCCCAGAGAAAACAATTTGTAAAAAGGTTTAGTAAATAAAGTGGCTATATTTGTGTTTGGACATGTTGTTGTGTTTCCCCCCCTCCCATATTTCATACTTCTGTGTTGATTTCTGATTGTATGTCGTACTTGACCACCATTGGTGCAAAGGCTTGTATATGTGATTGTAAAATAGGTTCACTCCGTTCACCTTGACTTCACTGTTGGCCGTGGATATCCTGAAACATGTCCTTTAAGAGGATGGAGATCAGGAACGCTGTCTCATTCCGTGAGGCCGAAAACTGGATGAAAGTGCTGCTTTCCTTTGAGACAGGTTAAAAATACCTGCGAGTGGGAGTTGTTAGCAGGAAAAAAATAGAAAGAGAGGAACACCTATGGTGGCAGGCTAGTCATATCAGCAGGAGAGAGCCAGTCTGAGCTTCAGAGATGTTCACAGGCAGCCCACTTTCTGTACAGCTCTGTGCTGCATAATGTCCTGACCTCAACAGCCTCCACCACTTTGCTTAAATTGAAAGTTTAGTTAGAAGTTAAAAAAGGCAAATTTAGAAGGAAGTTTATCCCAAACGTAGTTGATCTGGAGACGTTTGGTGTGTGAAGTTTGCTTGTTTAGTCATGCACTGGAGCTGCGAGGCTGAAGTAGCTAACAAGTAATGCAAGTTTATGTACACCAGTTAGCGCTATGTAAACTGCAGCCAAAATCTTTTTTTGGCCAAACTGATGTTCACAAACCCAAAATTTGTCGGAACACACATCCCTATTTGCAATAAATGCACTGATTTGTTAAATGTTCGTTGAGATCAACATGATTGTCAGGCCTCCAAGATGCACTACAGCGTGAAGGGTTAGTGAGTGGAGCTCAGAGGCATTTCACATATATCTGACAAACTTGGAAGATGCTCCTTTGAAGAGCTCTGCTCTGAAATGTGTTGGTTAGTTTTCCTCTAAAGACCTGGACCAGCCAGCTGATGCTCTAAAGGAAGATGAGTTCTTTCACACTTACCTTTTTTTGTGCAGACCAATCAATTTCTTTAGTTTGGTTCGCTTTGACAGATGTAAACACTCCACACTGTAAACTGCCAAAAATCGCAAGTCTCGGTCCACTTCCATGTCAACTGTGGTTGATAGTTTGGGTCAGGTTAAATTCGAACTGATACACAATCAAAGCAGTCGATCATAAAAAGAGATAAAGTGCCTTTTTTTTATTACTCTATATTGTGTATATATAGACATTAAGTATCTCATTTCATGCAACATAATAAACATAATGAATAGAAATTGGTTTTATTCAATGGTAGGCTGGTGAAAGTTACAATCTTTGGCACTAATGGAGCCAAACATGGAGTGCGTGAATCCCCAGAATGAGACACCCTCGCGTTACTTGGTGCACCTTAGCCGTCATAATGCCCTGTACCAGTGCATAAACTGAACCGAAGGCACTCTTTAAAGAAGATTTAATATTTCAATATGAATATGAATTCATTTTTTTGTATGAATGATGTTTTTCAAGATGTTTCGAATGTCTGAAGTTTGCTTCCATAGCTAAAAGATAATGGAAGCTTTCAGCCCACCAATTAGCATCATGCAAACTGGTTCTGTGTTTGCTTTAAAAAAAAAAAAAGCCTTTTTGCACCGGATCTGATACACGGATGTTAAATCCAGCGTGATTTGTAATTGGACAAAAATACTGACCATACTCTTGATTCCAGAAGATCAGAGATGGTTCGCTGCATTTTGAGTTGCGCATTTGCAGTGAAAATGTTTCATCAGGTCACTGTTGCAGCAACAATTGCATTTTTGAGCCACTTCTCTATTATAGAAGCGAGGCACTGATATGAAAATGTTGTGCTGACTATTTTAGTGTCTCTTGGTGTAGATATTGCTGATATTGTAGCTCATTTGCACTGAAGTGTTTCAGCTCATTTGCATTAAAGAAGAATCCCACTGGTATTTCAACATCGCTGTGTAATTCAGCAGTTGAGATTTAAACAAACTCATTCAGAGTGGTTTGATGTGACATGGTTCATTGTAGAGAAGCGTACTGATTTGGATTTCTTTACAATGATGATGAGAGGAACTAACACAAATATAGCCATTTTATTTACCATCCTTGTACTACCCCACCTACGCATAGCAAAAAAGATTTAGA